AACGTGCCTAAGGTGTTTGGTTCTTCATCCGAAGCTAAGGCCCGCAATCCGGCGACTAGCACCGTCAAATTTAGGCATCCAACGCGACAAACATAAAATCTAACATCTACAATGGCCTCCGTGTCCGAGCTCGCCTGCATTTACTCTGCTCTGATCCTCCACGACGATGAAGTGACCGTCACCGTAAGTGTCCCGGTTTACCCCTGACAGATCAGCCAGTACTTCTTAACTGGGTCCTCGGCAGTCTCGTGCTGGAGGGGTATACTCTGAATAATAAAGATGAGAGTAAAGACTCTATTGTCAAACAGGGATAGTTTTTTTTTCTTTTAAAGTACAAATTTAGGTGTTCGGGTGTCCAAACTGTCCCATATAATTTAACGTTACCGGCCAAAATGGCGGAATGCTTGTTGCTGACATTAATGTTAACGTTCATTTACGCCACGTTTCAGGGCAGCTCTGAGACATTCATGAGTATCTTCAACATGTGGTTGTAGTTGTTACTCGCAGCACGTCTTAAACATCTAAACTAACGTTAAGAGTTGAACTTAGAGACAAGTCATTCACTCGATGACAGGAACCGGCTAATGCTAAGCTAGAAAATATCCTCGGCGGCACACATTGCTTTTATATTTAGAAGGGTATCACTGTGAAAAAGGCGTGACCGTTAGTTAAATACTGTGTAACGTTATTTCTAGTGTCTGCTTTATTTATCTATCATAACACAATAGTTGGTCGTCTAACGTTGTCCTGATGTGTTTGGTGCACGTGGATGCTGCACAACATCTGTAATGTGCGAACCGCTGCATAACGTTAAATCATGTCCCAGATAATGTAGTAATCCTGGTGGTGTAGCAATAAACAATCTTTGCATAAGCTGCATAAATGGCAGGATTGTAATAAATAAAATAAAAACATTGATTTGCATAGTTCTTATGAATGAGGCATCTGACTCAAAGGTGATGTGTTCAGATTGTTTTGTAAATCAAGCTGGACCCAGAAGATTAGTTGATTATCAAAGAAGCTGTCTGTTAAATTTCAGTATCCTCTTAGTTTTGACAAGCATAACTACCATGTCTAACTACCACAGACAAATTAATGTGAAACAGTAACTGAAGACTTGTGATAATAGTATGTTTACTGAAAAGTTGCTTAAAATCACTTTTAGTTATTTGAGGATGAATGAAGTAGGTTTGCTAAAAATTGCTTGTTTTCTGTGTCTGTAGGAGGACAAGCTGAACGCTCTTATCAAGGCTGCTGGAGTCACCGTGGAGCCCTTTTGGCCAAGTCTGTTTGCCAAGGTGAGAACATCATACACACACTGTCAACATGTTTTACGTAAATTGCTGCTGTGCCACGATTTATGGATTGGTATGGTTGGAGTTATGTCTGGGTCTTCATGTCTGAAGTGGAAACATACAGGCAGAACTCATGATTGTTTTTTGCAGTGTTTATCATGTCTAATAATGAATGAGATCTGGTAGGTGCAGTATGTGCGGATCTTATTAGGATGTGTTCACGCTCAGTCTTTGTAATCAGCATTTAAGTCTGCAATTGTGAAGTTGAAAGTTTGCTTAGCTTTCACCTGACAGCATGTTGGGATTTAACGTGTTGGTGTGTCATTGCTGACAACTTGGCAGAAACACTGGTACAACATACGGAATTAAGAGATTGCAAATGATCTGTTTAGAGGATTTGACTGAACTGGGTAGGGTTTCAAAATCATACTGGAGTTTGGTTAGTAGAAGTTATTTCTCAAACTTAAATTGCAAAAGCGGTTTCTCTATATGAGAACAATGGTGTTACACCTTTTAGTACTGTAGGTTTGTGCATCACTCACCAGAACAAGTGATCCTGACCTGTGATTGTTGTCATTTGGCAGGCTCTTACCAGCATTGACATCGGCAGCCTGATCTGCAACGTCGGCGCCGGAGGTGGAGCTCCAGCCCCTGTTGCAGGAGCTGCTGCTGCTGCTGCTGGTGACGCCCCAGGTAACTGGCCAAACAGTGGTTTGAAGTGGAAAGAGGGTTTTAGATAGGTGTAACATGCAAATGCTCAAGATAGTTAAGTGTTTATAACAGCAACACTATAATAGGAATATACTTGATAATGTGACTGATACAGTGGGAGGAGATGAGGCTTACCTGACTTCCTCAGGGAGAGAATATCATGCTTTTGAATTGTAGAACTAGGAACAGTTTAGTAACTTAAGTGATGTATCATTTTCTTAATCTAGTACTGGTCTAGTTAAGCTAGAACTACCAGCATGTCATCTTATAGGGGTCAAGGTGAAAAGCCAGTTGCTCACTTGTCACGTGTTTATTTGTCAAATCTCTCAGAGCTTGCTTAAAAAGGACATACATGTACATCTTGGATTTTGTTAACCATACCCTGTCCTGTTTGCCCCCACAGCTAAGGAAGAGGAGAAGAAAGAGGAGAAGAAGGAAGAGTCTGAGGAGTCTGACGATGACATGGGCTTCGGTCTCTTCGATTAAAACGGCTCTTTTTTTAAGAAAAAACCCAATAAAACTACAAAAATGATTTCTGCCTTGTCTGACTATTTTTGTTCTTTCCTGTGATGGTCTCTGCTACAGACACTGTCGCTGTAATTGCATACATGCATAACCCTAACCTTTACCAAGTCTCTGAGCTTTAGGGGACATCAACCAACAGTGTTTATATATATATATATATATATATATATATATATATATATATATATATATATATATATATATATATATATATATATATATATATATATATATATATATATATATATATATATATATATATATATTTTTTTTTTTTTAAGCTTAAATGTACAGCAGCAAATGTTCGTGGGATGTGGTTAGTTAGTAGACAATAACAGTAGTTGTAGTCTGTGAGCTGTTACTGCTTATCCTCCTTTTGTAACATATTTTGTCCACCTATTAAAGGCACAATAATGACTCGTGAATAAGTTTAAGGAGGTGGATAAGTGTTTTTGTAATAAAGGTAGAGAATTAAAGACAATCTGTAAACACTGGAAAAAATGCTGTCCATAGCTTCATAAAATGAGAATGTGGTTTACCAGGTACTGTAAAACTGAATGCACCCAGGTTTATATTTGGGACAGGCCTTTTATTCCCTTTGTACAAAACTTGCTCAGCAAAGATTGGAGGAAGGCTACTAAAAAATTGTAAATGTGAAATGAAATGACTGAGTTGTGGAGAATCTAACTGGTCTGATGTGCATTTCCAGATTGATAAAAGTTTATTAATTATTTAATTATTAACGTTTATTTTGTACACATTCTAAGCAACACTAGCTCAAGAGGGCAACCCAGTGGGCTTTAAGAGGTTTTATACTTCGAATGAACTTAAATAAAAAGCAGACCAGGTGTCTAATTAAGACCATTTATGTGTGTAGCCACAGCAGACCAGTAAAAGGGGCAGGCGTGTAATTGGGACTGCTTTTTGAAGTTTTACAGTATAAGAGCCATAACTTGAGTCAATGGAGATAATATTATTATTATATATATATTGAAAATTTTATATTGCGTTTGTTGGCAAGAGATTTAAAAAGTGGTCCTTAAGCCTTGTGCAGTGCAAAAAGGCCTACAATTAAACATGCTGTACTTGGCTTTTATGTAGTAGACTAGATGCTATATTTTAGATTAGCTACCTGAACCCATCATGATCTGCATTTATTCATTTTTGTGCGAGGTAAACACAAATAACGTTACACGCGCATCTGCTGTTGACAGGCCAAGCTGTGTAATGAAAAATGTTTTGCTCACTAGCTTTTCCTCTTGTCTGAAAATGGCTAAGTTAGAGGTTTGAGCTCCTGCAAAGTAACGTCAATGTTAATGTTTTTCTGAAGGAAAAAAAAGAAAATCATCACATCCTCACATGAATCGAACCAATTTAAACCGTGTGAATTACAGTACCGATGAGAAATATAGTAGTTCGCGCAAATTGTTTGTCCATGGTGTTTTCAATAATATGAAGCTCAGGGTGAGTACGAGTTTCCGTAGTGTAGTGGTTATCACGTTCGCCTCACACGCGAAAGGTCCCCGGTTCGAAACCGGGCGGAAACATGTTTTTGTATTTTTATTACATTTACGGTGAAACGTAAAACGGAAGAGAAACATAGTCCCCCGTATCCCTTTAGAGTGCTGAATCCAACTAGCATGCGCCTCTACTCCGCGTCTGTGGACAGTATGTATAAAATCTAACTACCGGTTTACAGGTTTCCTTATATGTGCCTATTATGAAAATCTCTCAGGACTGTGTGAATTCATATATTCAATGAGCAAAACGCTCACAATTAACGTGTTAGCACGTGGTCCCCCTTTTGCTCATGGATACCCATGGATACCTATGGGTGAAAATGACACAAAAAAAACAGGAAACAAAGTTGGAAATATGAAAGAACAAACTTAGTGTAGTCCTTTTGTAAACTGTCCAGAACACAGAAAACAACACGTCACTGGTGCTGTAAGCAGTAAATCAGTTCAACACATCTGTGGTGTTGGTACCTACCTTGTCATGACATTATTCACCCTACAGAAGCAGGCTTAGCAGAGAAACCAATTTAAAACTTGTTTAACGTTTGCTGCAGAATGCCTCCCTATCCAGTGACCTGATCTTAACTCAAGGTCCACTTATTGGTTTTTCTTTACTTTTTCCAACAGCATTTCTCTTCTTCAGCGGATGGAGTTTGCTCACTTGTAGTAGGAGTTGAAAGCTCAGGACAGAGCTAGTAAGAGGACCTTAAGAGTTTGGTTTTGTCAAACTACTGAAAGGATGACCTTTCACACTCAACTATCCTGTGAAGTCTGTGTTAATAAATACATTTTGAGCATCACAAATAAGTACATCTTAAGTCCTGCATTTATATAATTTGGATTTGGTCACTCCAAATTTAACATTCTACCACACAAATCCTGAGAACAGATATTATAATAAAGGCGGTTTAAGATCAGGGACAGACACAATTAGGGAAACAGACTCAGAAAGTATTTCATAATGATAACAGTGTTTTATTTGCTTGGTTTAGCAACTATACATGTGGCTCCTTCCTGAGAATACTGCTCACCTCAGGGGAAAGGGAACAGTGGAATGGAGAGGGAATCAGAGAGGGAGGAGAGGAAGCCGCAGGGAGGGATGGTTAACAGAGGGAGAAAATGTAGGGGTGACAGAGCAGGAGAAGAGAGGGGAGTAAAAGGTATAAATAACTCCAGTGGAGGGAGGTAGACATGAAAACAGGAGGACTGATGGAGGAGAGATAAAGAGCGTTTTCGGTGTGTATCTGTCGCTGTTGTTTTTAGGAAGTGTTCAGGTTAAACTCTGTAATCGACCCCCTAAAAAGCTTTACAGATTATTATTAACGTTGAATTCTACTCTGAAGATGTCCCTGAAAATCCAATTTCTTGGATCGATTAAACCGAAGGAAATTTGACAAAGCGGGTGTAAGTGAAAGCTTGCACTGCATCTTGTCGAGTGACCATTTGTGTAAAGACAAATGGGACAGAAGGAACCCACAACATGACGGATGCCACAACACAGCAAGCCTTCAATGTATAAAGCAAGCATTAAACTAACCAACATGAATTTGACATTTCTGAAGAAAAAGATGCAAAAATGACAGGCGAGTAAACCAATGACAGAGCATTTAAGTGTGAAATGATCCTTTTTAGTCAACTGCAGTTCATTTGGCACAGGGTGACCTGCTGTACAGTATAATTAGCACCTCCATTGTAATTTAAAAAAACACCCTCCCTCCACCTCTCTCCCTTCACTTCCACATGTTCTTCCCTCTCCCCTTATTCACCAACAATTCATGCCTCAGAAACATGTTAAAAATATAGCTTCTTTGTGTATTTACTATGGATGTTAACTTAAAAAAGTGGCCTGTGACATTTAGTTTGTTCTTCAAAATTTTACTTTCATATTTCATTTGTATGCCATCTCTTGATGTCCGAGATCAAGAGAGAAGAAGAAAAAAAGAGATGAAAATATGACATTTATGAGGAGCTGTAAATCCAGACTTTTGCCTATACAATGTAAGAGGAAGACTGAAACACTGACAGTGACATACTGTGAGACTCAAGGCTGAAAATAGTAATAGTAATAATAATAATAATAATAAAAAAATGATATAAAAAGCATGTTTAAACAACAACATCATCATATCATCTTCATTATCGTCCTCATCCTGGCTCTTCAGTTCCAGTTGTTACATCCTGCATATGTGGAGCGAGTTAGTCGTGTCTATGTGGCAGATTTCGATGCATCCCTTCTCCGAAACATCTCTGCAGTCCTCTGAAACCTTTGTTTGATTCACTTAAAAATTAAAAAGAAATAATGGATGATTTAAAAAAAAAAAACAAAAAACCTCATCTTTGAGGATACGTGATGGGGTAGAAGAGCGTTTCTCTGGATACAAAAAGCAAATAATGCAACAAAAGTACAAAACAACAGATATTGACCCAAAACATGAGCGTCACCAGAGAGAGAGGAAAAAGGAAACTGTGAATGTTTAAGGGAGGCGAAGAGGGGGGCGATAGTTTCCCTCAGTCATGTCTGCTGTCCATCAGTTCATGTTTTTTATCCGTCCGTCACTGACATCCATCTAAATGTTCTCTTTGTGATTGGCCGAGAGCTTCTCCATCTCCACAGCAACAGAAACTCCCGGGGCCACACCCCCTCTCGTTTTGATTAAATCCTGATCATCTTGAGTCGTGATTGGTCGATGACATCCAGCAGGTTCTTGGCGTCGACTGCGAGGGCGTGAGCTGCCATTAGCATGTGTTTCTTGTAGTCCTTTTGTAAACTGTCCAGAACACAGAAAGCAGCAGGTCACCGGTGCTGTGAGCAGTAAATCACCATCATCAGTTGAATACATCTGTGGTGTTGGTACCTACCTTGTCATGACATACTGTTGGGCCAGTTTCATCTTCGATATTAACTCAGCCAGATCTGAATTCAACAACTTCTGGGCCATCTCAATCTGTGATATCGCAAACAAAATGTAAAAATCATACAACACATTCTCCATGAGAAGAAGAACTAAAAAGATACTTAAAAATAAAGAGAACAAAGCTTGTGGGCCACTTCAATATATGCTTCTCTAACTAGCCAGAATAAGTGGAAACCCTTCAATATTGCGAAATCATAAATTTGGAAAAGTCACAATAAACAATTTAATAAATATATTTTAAAATTCTGTAAAACCAGAGATACTTGTCCCTCCTTTATAGTCTCTATACACTTTTCCCCTCCACAATTTAAACTTGTATAACAATGTTTGGGAATTAGAGGTCATATGGATTTTATTTGTTTTACTGCAAGGAACATGCAGGGTTTTTAAAGTGTGATAAACAAAACATTTGTGTATGACATTACAGCATGAGCCGGTGTGGAAAAGACAAGTGATATCTACTGTAAATATAATAGTCTATTCAAGTGAAAAAGTGCCTTGTTTATATATGTTATATACATGTTCTCACAACGGCACAACATAGAAATCTGTTTGCTAGGGTCGTCACCATCAGGATACTTTGCAGTGGTTTTACTCTGAGGCACCTTTAAATACAGTATTCAGGGAAAACTGTTATGTATTTCCACCCTCCATTATACACTTTTAATTGTGTGTGTGTGTGTGTGTATGTATGTGTTTACCTCTCTGTGTGTGCTGGCTGGCAGCACAGGAAGTGTCTCATCCACTGTCGCTAGCAGAGTCCTCAGCGCCAGACCCACCTCCTACCACACACACACACACACACACACACACACACACACACACAAAAATTAGTCTTCAGGTAATATGCACTTTTAAATCTGTTGATGATGATGGATATTTAACTTGTGTCCAAATATTTTTAAGTAAAGGAAAGAAAAGTGTAGCATTATAACATTTTCCTACCATTATTCCATTAGCCTACCTTGACCATTGGGACGTACTCTTCCGGGGCTGCAGGCTGAATCCTATTGGACATCTCGATCACAGCTTTAACCAATCCTGTCACATTCTCATAGACCTTGTCATTGGAACGATCCAAGTTGGCGGTGGGGGGCGGGCTGATCTCCTGCGGCTGCAACTGAACCAATGAGAAAAGTACATTGAGTTACAATGAGCTGCTAAAATAGACATTTTACACGTTTTGTTTTATAAATCTTATTAAAGGAAGATTAACTCATTTTAGAAATTGTGTTACAATTAAATTCTTAAAAGCTTTTTCTGCTACTAGGGTCAACGTAGGGGACTGTAGTTAGACAGACACAACACTGGGGGGCAGTATCTGACTAGATTTACACACACAAAAACATACATACTGTCACTCTCTCTCTCTCTCTCTCTCACACACACACACACACACACACACACACACACACACACACACACACGACCCCTCAAGATGTTATTTCTATCTACATGCATTTCTACCTACATAATAGATACCTTAACTTTTTCTACTACTGACAGAGGAGTGTGCAGGGTTGTTAGTATGGTGTGATGGCAGGTCAGACATGGTCAGTTATCTACTGAGTTCAACCTACATTAAGGGATAGTTTTTATACTAATGTTAAATCAACTGATTTAGTGTAATGTCTAGAGGTCACAAATCCCTTAATGCAGGTTTAATTAATGTTCACAAACGACCTAGCTGATTCAATTTTGTTTAAGCAACAAAAATATTTTAACAGTGGTGTGGCGCAGCAATTAATGTCAGGACATAATAGAACTATGGCTGAAGCGATTTCAAAAAGCCAGAAACTACACTCATAAACATAATATTTATATAAATTTTGGGTGGATGTTTCTTCTACACCAAACCTACAACCACTACTACATTAATTTAACTACATTTGACATGTAAAGACACAATGGAAGACATACAGTGATCAGTTTACAATGCTTCTATTGATCGAAGAAAAACAAAAAACACTATGGTGACTTTTACATTTTGGTTTTATTTTCCTTTACCAGAGATATTTTTCATAAGACTCTCCGCTACATGGCTACTACAAACCTTAAGCCAACATTAACATGTGATTAGTTGTATCCATTACTTTGAATGGGGAATAGTGGAACAAGCTTACAATGTTTTATTTACAACAAAATAATATCAACTCATTTACATTTTAGTACCTTTTTGGAGCTTTCACATATCTCACAGTCACCATCTTTGCTAATGACCATGAGATGCACTTGAAAGTTTGTTTGCCGCAAGTTTGGCAACAGGGATATTTTGTTCTGTCTCTGGTAAAGAAAAATACAATTCAGAAAGCTTCGCAAAGCTTCTCTGCACATTTTACTGATGGTAACTATTAGCTAACTAACTCTACAATGATGACAGACACACACAAAGATCAGCTTACCCTCCACGGCTATGGGGAGGTTGAGGAGATGGGAGGGAGGTGTGGTTGGGTGGATGGGGGTTTGACAGGGGAAGAGGTTGAAGGGGATGGAGGTGTGCAGATCGTGAATAGAGGGGAAAGGGTTTGGAAGATTTATTGGTGGATAAATGGATGCAGAGTAACAAGTCAGAAAAGCAGCATGAGGAATAACAAGATGGCAGGGTGTTAAGGGGAAACAAATGGAATGAATGAATGGATGTTAATGAGAGGGGAACAAGGAGTAAAGGGGGGAGAGAAGAGGGACAGCACATTAGCCAACCAAAGGTGGCATAGCATGCAACCCATCAATGCCAAATAGTGTTGAAGTCAACTCAAAAATGATATGCTAGAATAGGAACGTCCATACTAAGCGTGCAAGATTAACACAAGTGAAAGAGGCTAAATAAGTTCACAAAATGTTCTAATTCAGATCATTTCTAAAACTGGGGAATACATTCTGTATTTTTAAGGAGATGAATTGTTCAAAGCCCGTATGTGTTATGTCCTCCTTTGAGCTTGTGCATATGTATGTGTGCATATATACCTTGACCCCCTCGTTGTAGCTGTCCATGGGGCAGAGACCTGCCAGGTTCCCCAGGTGAGCAGGAGCTCCAGGGCGGGGCGGTTTCTTAGGAGGAGCCACGTGTTCTGTGGAGAAAAAAAAGGAGTTTGACATTATTATCCGTATGTAGCATGCTAGCATGCTAAGTAATACTAGTATCACCAGTACAGAGTTTATATGTAAGTTTGATGCAACAGGTACTTTATGCTGGTATGCAGAGGTGGAAAGTATGTGACTACATACATTTACTCAAGCACAATACAATTTAAGGGTACTTGTACTGTGAGTTTTTTCATTTCATTTGCAACTTTAAACTTATATTTTACGATTTAACAGAAAACGAGTTCAGTATCGAACAGTGTATAAACTAGTTAACGTGCAAGCTTCATTGTATTCCTGTAGCGTATTGAGGCTCTACAATGACAACTTACTGATAATAATTCTATACTCTTATTTGAATAATTTTTTTACTCAAGTATGTCAGTATGCTCGTTCTCTCACCTGGTTTCCCTACAGGCTGGTAGATATGTTGGCTTCCTCCCTGTGCAGAGATAAACACACACAAAGACACACCAGATTGATGGTAGGCAAACCTTCAGTTCTCATTAAAGGGGACAAACTCTTTGAATAAGAAGATAAACTTTGCTAAAACGTTTATGTGATTCTGAATTCACAAGCTTAACATAAGAAAATATACCTCCACATTCACAGTTGTATTCCCACAGGCAATGTCAGCATTCCGCTACAGTTACAGTTGATACAGTGCAGAAATCATAAGGTTAATGCTGAGAATTTGCCTTAGGATATTATAACACACATTTACAGTAAAGTTGACTGTGCAGTGCTTCTGGGTTTAAAACTCCCAAGAGCCCTCTGTGGTCATGTGGTTGGTGTGTAGGCAGTACCCTCCCTGGCTCACAGACAGAAATACTTTCTCTCTTTCTCCCAGCCTTCCTCTGTCTGTCTGTCGGACTAAAGAATTTCTCTTCTTTGCTATAATGTGCTTATTTTCTCCTCCTTGTCTCTTTTTTCTATACAACATAGCTTCCTGTCTTTTCAGCATTTCCCCAATTGCACGTTGACTCTGTTTTAACTTGACATTGCTCTCTGCAATCTCTCAGTGTGTGGAGCTAAAAAACCATAACTCACTAACAGGTAAACAGACGATTTTCAATATATGTATTATCAATACACACACACACACACACACACACGCAGTGACTTACCGGTGCTTGTAGTGTGCCATCCTCTCTGTCGATGCTTCCTCTGCTGTTTCTAGACTCTGTCTTCTGCAAGGAAGAGACAGAAAGACAAATTGAACGGGAAAAAAATGTAAATATAAAATCCAAATCTATGCATGTGCTTTTGGAGCGATTTGCAGCACTGTAAAATTATATCCATTTGTTACAGGTAATTCTACTTTAGTGACAAAATAAAGTAAAACAAAACTGTGACCACAGCTTTGATTGTAAATCATCAACATTTTATACAAGACTGACGTTAATAAATGGCATGGGGCATTCACAAACAAACAAGAAATATAAAAAGCAAGACACAAACATCAACAGTTTGACAGCCACCTGCAGGTTACGGAAATAAAAGCTATGCAAAGCAGCTAATATAGTTATCATTTCCATTATTATTAACCAGCAAAATGCAGAATTTCAATTCCACTGATGACTACAACCTGCAGCAGTTGGTCAGTTTTCCATCTGCACTGCCTAAAAAGTGAACATCATCACCACCAAGTCAGTGAGGAAGAAGAGCAGCAGGTAAACGCAATCCTGTTCACACAGATGACTTCACGACTTCAAGTCTGTTTACACACATTTAGTCTCAAGAAAACAGTAACATCACAAAACTCTGTCCACATTTGCACCACTAAAACCAAGCATGTAACTCCTTCTCCCCTGTCTGTGTCAGTACCGTTTTGGTGAAGCACGCCTTGAAGAGATGCATCCTGGGAGAGCAGAGGCTGAAGAAGACAGGAGGAGGAAAGCAGAGAGTGGAGGCCATCGAAAGAAGGGCGGAGATGGGGACAGAAAGTATGGGATGAAGAGAGATTGTGGCAAAGAAATCCTTAGGACATAGAGAGAGGAAGGCAGATCATAAAGGGAAGGACAGAGACTCCAGAGATACTGGGAGGGGGAGAGAGAGAGAGAGAGGAAACTAAGAACGTGGAAGATGGTGCAGAGAGAAATGAACTGAGAAAGACAGAAAAACTGAGTCAGAGAAGAATGGAGGGGGAGGAAAAGATAGACAGAAAAAGAGGGAAAGTTTTTCCAGAGGAGGAAAAGCTCCACTGAGCCGCAGAGACTAAATCCTGGAGAGAAAAGATCCAACCGCCTGACTCTCCTCTCCGTTTCTCTCCCTCAGTCTGTTTCTCCCTCCCACTTTTTCCATCTCTCTACATCTTCCTCCGTTTCCCTCCCTCTCTCTGATGGTTCGTTCCACCCTCTCGATGGCTCTTGCCAATCCCACTTCCTTTCTCCCTCCTTCTGTCCTCCAGTCTTGTTCCTCCTCACAAACTTCCATCTCTTTCTATTCAGGCCGTGCTTTCCTTTTCTCTTATTGCGCCTTGTTTTTATTCTCCTTTTAGAGTTCATCACAAGGTTTATTTGCATATATAACCAATAGAGCTTACTTCTGCAGGACAGTAGTGGTAAGAGAAGTAGTGACATTGCAAGCATGAACAGCAAAAGGTACTTCAAGTACTCATTAAGCAGCAGATTGGCCCCTTTCACAGTATTATATCATTGGATAGCTGATATTATTTGATTATTTTTACTTTCTTGTTTCTATGAACTGACTTGTACAAATTGATGGTGAGTGCATCAGAGGGAATGGGAAAGTCCCTGGGCAGTGGTTGCATTAGGCCCTCTGTGATTTATCAAGTGTCATGAATGTGGTTGATAACGGGTCTTAAAATCATAAAATAGCACAATATTTTATTCATTCCTGTGAAGGAAGTTTCCTCTGATTATGTTTCCACATTCTAAGGTCAGGGCTGTAAAACTCTGGGGATGTGGTGAGCCACGAGTGCTATTTGTGTGTCCCCAGCATTAAAGCATAGTCTTTCAAAAGTTTCTGAAGGTGCAGAGAGGAACTGGTGCATCAAGTGAACATACAAGCCAGCAAGAAAATAATATGCCCAGAGGTTAGCTAACAACAAATAAGATATCAGCAATTCAGTCTGCCACGTCCGTCCTGTGAGACTTCCAGTTCTGTGAAGCAATAAATGTGCCTTTCAAATATGGCAGGCTAACTGGACTTTATCAGTAAGAACAACGACAGACTGCCCATCACTCATCTTTTTTCTCTCTCTCTTTTCTGTCAGCTCGCCTACAGCTGGCTCAGAAATTAAAACAGCTCATCCAGACAAGAGGAGAAAACAATCTGACCTGAAGAGAGAAGAAAAACAGACCTGTTTTGCAAAAGTGGTGATTTGGCTCCTTCTACGGGATGTTTCAGTGTCTGATGAGATAAATCAAGCACAACTGAGCCAGTTCAAAGATATTCTCCTCTGGCATATTTGTTTTCGTCCAGTTTTCATTTCCTTCTTTTTCTAATTTATCTCAGTCCAGTCGGTTATGTCAATTAGGGTTTTGATGATATCTTTTCAGATGATTTTGTTTGTGCATGCTTTTAGGTTTGTTGTGTGTTTTTCCATGGTGTTAATAACGCCACAATCTTCTCCATATTAACAGATTACTGCCTTTGGATGACCCAAGTATTCTGATTACTAAATAACTAGCCATTGCACTTAAGTTTTCTTGAATCTCCTGGTAAGACATAAAAATCTTCTCTCATGCTGCTACTGCTCCTCTAGCATGCATGAACGCTCAATAGCCAGAATCTGACTTCCTGACACATGTGTATGAAAAGTATTATGATGACCCATAGAAAGGCTGACCTGTTTGTAAATGTGTTACTAGAGGTGATGTTTTGAAACAGTAGCTTATATGTGAATATCTCTGTGTTTGTGTATTACCATGAAGCTCTCCTCCTGCTCCAGCCACCGCTGGTCGTCCTCCATCTGTTGCTGCTGCATCATCAGCCTCTCCTCCATCATAGCGTGGCCTACACATCCACTGTCCTGTACAAAACATGGGTGCTTAAATGTGAATTACTGGTCTTTTCTTTTACTTTAAACGTTTAGTCATACTAAATAATGAAATTCAAAAAGTACAAAACTGGATAAACAGATTCAGGACAGCAACATGATCACCTCAATCTTCTGTACATGCTGACAAGTGATTGACTGAACTGTGTGATTATCTTAAATATATAATGAAAATGATTGCAGGGATCAAGCTGTTGTTTAAACATTTCCCTGACTGCAGTTACTTTATTCCCCTGCACAGAGCACTGCCCTCTGCCTGAAAAAACAACTTGCCAGGACCTCACTACTGTTATTTCACCCGCTATGTTTAATCTAAATGAAAAGTCAATTACATAAATATATATGAAAAAACATTACTATATTACTAAGACCCATTACAGATGAAAAAGAAAAACAGAAATAATGTATGTGAAAAAATGAAAACTCTCAGCACTTCACTGGATAATATAATAGCTGTAATTTCAGTGGATTGCACCAAATGTCAAACGCTCTTTATGAAACTGTTTGTGAATGCATACTGTGTGTGTGAGAGAATGGGTGAGTGAGTGTGTATACCTCCATGTTAGGGCTCCACAGGGCTGTGTGTTCAGGTCTGTGTTGATTCCAGGAATCAGTAGGAGGGTAACTGCCACCTACTCCTCCTATACCACCGTGGGCTGACAGCTGGAGGTGGACAGAAGCAGAGAGAATTATTGCTTTTGCTTGCTATTCGTACAACATGACACAAGAGTACATGCACACTAAACAAATACACCGACTGATTATGCCAATTCAATTCAATTCAATTTTATTTATATAGCGTCAAACCACAACAACAGTTATCTCACAGCGCTTTTCATAAAAGAGCAGGTCTAGACCGTACTCTATGATGCTATTTACAGAAGCCCAACAGTTCCCACCATTGCCAAGGCTCCCATTATTTACTTTTTATATCAGATTTAACCATAACTTAGTTTCAAGCTCATTAGTAGTTGGTAGTCATTTTTCAGCTCCAAAAATGTTGGGACGAGAACAAGAAAGGGTCAGGAGTGGAAAAAACTCATCTGAATGCAATAAAACAGAGAAAATGAACACTCTTGTAACATTCATGTTATAAGAGTGTTAATTGACTGATATTTCCTTAGAGACTATTTTAAACTGGCAAATTTCAAAAAAGGGTACCTGCATCAGAGCAGAATGAGTGAATAATCAACAAACCATTAAGAAAGAATTATACTAATCCCATTAACTCTTAAGGTAAGCATTGCTATTGCTAAGCCATGATTTAGCACGAGACCTCAAATAGAGGAGTTTTATCTTCAGCTGCTCTCAGTCTGGTGTGTAATACACACCACCAAAATATATAGATGTTATTCCTATTTGTGATATGATCAAGTTTGACTTAAATGGCAGTTCAAATGATGAACTCCTTATAAGGACGAGAGAGAGGGCAAGAGAGCAGCTCAAGAGGAGCTCAAGAGCTGCAGAGTGGCTTTGATTTGTGTGTGAGTGTGTGTGGCTTTTAGAGCTACAGGAAATGCCTGCTGTCTGCTCGGTTTATGAGGATAGGAATGACTGCACTCAAAGTCTCTCTCATTTTCTCTGCTTTCCCATTTCTCTTTGTGACTTTGACACAGGCAGCGCACGCCTGCCGTCTGAGTTAACTCAGACTAAATACTGAGTTTACTGGGTTGGACTTTATTGTGATGACAGTGCTCAACCTGGACACTTCAGAGACCAAGATCATTTTGATGGTTACGAGGGTGATTTATAGAACCTGACAAAAGAGGTTTCCAATATTGTAGGACGAAATTTAGTGGCATGTTTTTTTAAAGATCTGTGATTAATGTGCCTTTTTCTTGTAAACAACATTCCTACAAAGTTTAATACTCTTTGCACTTTTTCTAGACCTAAACTTCCTCACAAGATTTAAGGTGGACTTTTGGGTTGAGTTTTGTTTTGTGTTGATTTCCACACTGCCCAGCCTCTACAGATCTCTGTAGAAACTCTACGCAAAATATAATGAATGTCTGCAGTCCTCTTGAAACAAAACTATGTTAAATTACATTACATGCAACTGGGAAACCAATATATAAATTATTACTAAATTCAACTATATGTGATTCTTACAACATCAGGCTCTCCCAACAACTGTTAAGCAATGTATTTTGTTGAAAAAGGGAAGAAAAGCATGCTTTGCACAAAGTTAGAGGACAATAAAAGGATGACCATGAAGAAAAAGTTTGTGGTGGTGAGAACACAAAAATTGACCACTGATAAGATTGAGTGCGACTTCACCACCACAAACATGTTTATTTTCCCTAAAGAAAATATTTTGTTATCTATTCCTGATACTATATATTTTTCTTAAATAAATAAAATTTAATAAAGGTTTCAGTATGTTTGGGGTTTTTTTTCCCTGTAAGACTTTGCAGAGTCAGAAATTCCCCCATGTTCCCCTCTGCGCTCCGGCACGCTGCTACTGTTGCCACCTACAGTAAAACCTCTGCAAGTCAGAGGAAAACCCTGATGCAGCCACGGTGGGTGAGAAAGAACAGAAGTGCACAGTTTTCTCACTATGGGAGCGGTGTGTGTGTGTGTGTGTGTGTGTCTGTGTGTATTTGCTGTACCGGGAAGTGGTTGACCTGGGGGCTGGAGAAAAAGCCTTCACTGGAACGAGGACTGGGGTAACCTGGTCTACTGGGCTACAGACAGAGAGATAACAGTTTGTTTCAGTTTGTCAGCCATGCCAAACACATGCACAGAAATGAGAAGTGAGTCAATAAGACAGTCACACAGTCTTACTTTAGGCGGCGCTTCATCGGACCCTCCAGAGTCCCAGGACACAGTGACTTGTCTCCTCATCTCCATTCGAAGTCTCTCCTCTTGTTGAAGCTTTTCTTCCTCCAGTATGGTGCTGAGAAATGCATACACAAAGGGCTTTTACTTCTTTATCTTAATAGGAGGTGGATCAATAGGAAAAACATTTTCTCCAACATGTTTATGTTTCTCAGTACAGGGAAATTTATAAAACATGAAAAGTATGGAAAGTAACACATCTTCTTTATCAGTGGTGGAAGTTAAATCCATAGGAAAATTCTTCTTTATTTGGAGAAAAACTAGCTCCAATAACACCAAGGATACAAAATGACAGAGGCTACTGTGATTTATTTATGGTAAATACACCAAGGGATCAGGAATGAGGCTCTACATGGGCAAGGGATTGATTATTCAACAAAGTATAAAAACCACTCTTGTCTTTGTTGTAAATTGAGCAAATTCAATGAATATTGGCTTTTAATCTTTAATTTTATCAACAGAATGTGTTTAATCACTATTTATCCAATTATTTCATAATAATTAATTCAATAAATGATACAGATATATACTGCCCAGTTCTGATAACTGTACTGGCATTATAATACATTAGTATATCATCACTATAGTAATAGTACATGGCCTAATCAATATTTAACTATATTTAACACATGACAACACGCAAGCGCTTGTAAGCACAAATTGACAAAAACATTTTATTACCTGAGTTGTGTTTTGAGTTCGGTGAATCGCGGTCGCTTGCTGGGGTCATACGACCAACATTTGGTCATCAAACTGTAGAGTGTGGGTGGGCACTGAGGAGGCATAGCCAATCGCTCGCCGTTCTCTATCCTGCCAATCACGTCATTGTTCTTCACCCCCTGGAAAGGCTTGATGCCGAACATCAAGATCTCCCACATACACACACCTACAGAGCAACGAGAGGAACAAGCAGACTGGGTTCTTTAGGACAAAAAATTATTGACAAACACACAAATGTCAGGCATGGACACTTAAGATAATGTACTGTAATTATATTTTTCCGCAACAGCAACTAACACAACACATGCATACACACATAAATGATCATAACTCACCAAACATCCAGACATCACTGGCAGAAGTGAATCTTCTGAAGTTGATAGACTCAGGAGCCATCCATTTGATAGGAAGTTTACCTTTAGAAGCTGAGGCAAAGACAAACACAGATACATTAAAATTACAGAACAATTTTTATAACTACATTACATTTGTTACGCTAACATATGTAATAGGTGACAGTCAAGATGAATTGCAGTACACTGATGTCACCTGTTGATGGCGGTAAAGTACTGGCAACTATAAATGTGGTTGTACACAAAGCTGTAAATGTTAGGGGTACAACAAACTGTTCTCAGGTCAGCACTGCTCGTAAAATCAGAGTAGCCAACAGCAGGAAACACTGCTGTCACGCTCCAACAAAGTGGAAACATCTAACAGTGTGGAGGGTTAGGGCTTGGAAAACGGTCTTGAATGCATCTGCAAAGTTAGTGAATCAATGTTCTGTCATAACAGAATACAAAACTGTGTATGAGTGTGTTGGTTTTAATGTGCAGGTGTATCATTACCTTTGTAGTAAGAGCTGTCCTCCATGTATCGTGACAGACCAAAGTCTCCGAGCATCACACAGTCGACTGAGGAGACCAACACATTGCGTGCCGCTATGTCCCTGCAAGTCAACATGGGATGTCATTAAGCCTGAATCATTTATGTTATTTGTTATGTCTCATATGCAAAATATCTACAGACGTCAAAAACTCCAGCAACACTTGAGTATAAAGAAGAACTTTTCGGTTTGTGGTCTACCAATAAAGATTGTCCTTTCTGTCTTTATTTACTTTATTTCAGAGTCTGAATTGTAAAAGTGAAATGTATGAGGCACATACTGCTCTCAAACCATCGCACAACAGATCAAAAAATGAGGCGTTCATAAAAATGTACACAACCTCCCGCTAAAAATCCCACAATGCAGTGTTTTGAATGAATGAGTGAATGGCGGCATGATTTCAGACGCAGCAAAATGACATTATTATTATTTATTTTAAGATCATATTAGCAATCAAAACATTTGGAACTTTCCTGGTTATTCAGTTTGAATATTTATATATCTGGCATGACAATAATAACGTGAATCACTCACATGCCTACAGTTACTCCTCAGTCAGTCTATGGAAAATGGACTGTACTTGATTAGCACCTTTCTAGTCTTCTGACCACTCAAAGCACTTTATACTACATGTCACATTCACCCTATTGGCAGAGGCAAGATGCCAACTGATGGGGAAGCTGCCCTCGACCTCTCCCAAAGCCTCAGCTGCTGCTATCTAATGTTCTGTGTGTGTGCATGTGTGTGTGTACCTGTGTACAAAGCGTTTACTCTCCAGATATGCCAGTGCTGTGCTGAGCTGGTAGGCAAACAGAATGAGAGTGGCCAAATCCAAATTGTACTTCCTCACCTGAAGGAATGAACGCAACTGTAGAGAGAGAGAGAAATATAAACATAAAAACAGGGATGGGGTAATGAAAGAGAAATAGTTTTTCATTATAGAACATAGCAGATCACCATGTTTAATAAGAAAACGTGAGCTATCTCACACCGATGTGATTGTTATGTTTGCTTTTCCTGGGAGCTTACCCTAATGACTTACACTCAACAGTTTCCTTTGTATACTGACAAGAAGTGACACACACTCTACTCTACTCAGTGCTTATGTGTGAACGGCCCGTTATCGACACAGCCTCAGGCGTACCTCTCCGAGAGTACAAAGCTCCATGATAATCCACACAGGGTTTTCTGTGATCACTCCGATCAACTTGACGATGTGAGGGTGGTCAAACTGACGCATTGTTACTGCAAGGGGAAACAGACACACACACATTAACACATGCATCATCAAGAAAGCGTGGTTTGTTCATAAGTCAAGTTGATACACAGGGGGGTCTTACATGCTTCTTGTAGGAACTTTTCTCTGACGCTGTCTGATGTACAGTTCTTACAGGTCTTAATGGCGACAGGTAGAGCTGGTTTGTCCTGCAGAACACACGGCACAACAAGTATTACTTACATATTGATGCTATATAACAATACAGCAAGTGTTTAATGCAATGAACGGACAAAACTCTTAAAAAAAATGAAAATAAATTTCCACATACCGGGCTGTTGTAGACTCCTTGGTGTACATCTCCAAACTGACCCTCTCCTATACAGCGGCCTAACTCTATCCTGTCTCTCTGGATCTCATAATCCCGTGCTGAGAGAGAGGAGGAGAAGAAAAAAAAAAGTAGCAGCAAGAGTGAAATAGGTCAGTTTACCTGCCGTTGTTTAAACACACGAAAGACCCATCGCAAGATTCTCTCAGATGACATGGATGGAGCTTACCAGGACAATTTGGATGGTATCAAGTAATTGTTTTAATCACAAAAGTAAAAGTATTAAGATACTTTAAAGACAATATGAAATATTTTCTAACTTTCTGGCAGTCCTTTGTGGTAAACCCCACCCACTGACAATCAGATTGCACTAAAATAATAATAACAATTAACAAATTACAAAAATACATTTCCAACCCAGGTTTGTACATTCAGATTTTATATCTAGCTATATTCTCCTACCACCTCTATACAAACCTTGAATTTGCATGCACTCTGCCGGACAAAATTACACAGACACCCACATAACTCATTTAACATGCAAAATGTAAGGTTCATGAGACATCTGTGTTTACATGCACATTGTCCCATTATTTTTTTTTCTTTATTTCCGTATACTGACACAGTGGAAAAGAGGCTACTGGGAAACACATAAACAAGTTGTTCTGAATAATTGAGATAAAAACCTGGAGTGCTCTGTGCATGTAAAAATCAAGAGCCCACGTCTTAAACACTTTGCAAAGCAGGGAGGAAGGCCTGGGCCTGGATGTAGGTCTTCTTAGTGAAATACTTTATCTGGATCTGTAATGTATTCACTATGGTCTGTGTCTGCAGTAACATTTGACAAGAAAATGAATGAAAGCGGTTGTTTATGCAACTGACATCCCCATTTTAACTTGATTTGACACTTGACTTTTATGTGTTATCAATATTTCTGCCTAGTTAATGAAACATTTCTCCAGAGTTCCATCAATGTCAGCTGCCAACCATCCCCAGCAAAAATGGACTAGATACTGAGTTCAAGAGTTATGCAAGACACTGACCATCAGGAACTTATCCTGAAAAAGCATACTTGTCTGCTGGGCTAAACAAAGTGCAGCTATTCGACTCAACCAACAGATAAACAGATTAAAAACACAAATACCAACAGCGTAGCCAAAACACATTCCATTATAAAGAAATTTACTGCAGTTAATCCATACTTGAAACTAATAATGACGTCAAACAGAAAAGAACCCACAGATGACAGACGACAACAACAAACGACTGTGGTAATAAATCACGATTAAGAAATACAACACAACATGATGGTGAAATGAGAACCAAGCCAATAAACAATGCAAATACTGCGAGGGTGTTTAGCTCCAGACGTCTTGGAACACTTCATCATCCCAAATTCTGATTAAACATCTTGCATTGTTTATGGATTGGCTCTCCCTTTCATTTCCAATACCAGACCCGAATGAACTGTATTCTACAAAACACCAACAACCACAAGTCAACAACAATCTGGAGTCTAGGTATCTTGAGTCTCTGTATTTTTCTTTGCCAGACAGTAATGGTAAAAGAAAACATCCGACATTGGTTCCTAACCACTCAAAAAAGCCACAAAAAGTGATAATGTTAATCATGTTAATCAGTGTGTGCTGTTTAAATGATCAAACTAGCTTGCAGGAAGGTCAACCAATTAGTTTTAATGAGGAAGGCTGAAGAGGCACATATTTCCCTGCAACGTAATCAAGTGCCTGGCAAGGAAAAATAACAAAATAAAATCTCAAGGCATTTCAGTAGGACACAATATGTGTGAGAGACAGGAGGTTTTACCTTCAACTACTCCATAGCTGACTGTGTTGGCGATGGGAGAAAGAGGAAGAAAGAGAGATGAAGAGGGGGAAAGAGCCAGACTGCTGCTTTAAGACTGAAATTAGCTCAGAAAACACACACACACACACACGCGCGCACACGCACACACACATACACAGACCCATTTCACTCTTTATATGATGTTAATGAATGAAAAACTGAGCTGATACTGCCACATAATGGTTAAAAGAATGGGTTTGCTATATTAGTCCTTAATGTTATACAGCTGTTTTTTTTTACATACAATAAAAAAAGACATTAATGACATGAAGACACGTACAAACTCAGGCAGTGAGTAGGAAAATATGTCTGCAGAAAGTTTGTTTAGAGGAAGTCGCAGAAAGACGGAGACTAAAAAAGCTACATTATGGAGACAAAGACACAAAGCCAGACAGAGAAAGATAGAAAAGGACTGTGGGAGGAAAGGAGAACACAGTCCATTTTCAAAGTTGGCCACGCAATCAAATACATAAGTAGTTTGTACTGGACGAAATATCCACATCAAATGTATCGGAACAGAGTGAAAAAGCCACCATTGCTTACAGGTCTGAAGCCAAACTTACCAGCACATTCTGGGCTGTTTTTTTTTTAACTACTGACATTTGAATGAATTTGACAGACGTAATGTGAGCCCAACCAACCGGAGTTACACAGTTTGAGTTGTAGCCTCTCTGACCTCCAGCTGTTTATATAAGACAGTGAAACTGGCCTGAATTTGATTAGCTGCTACCTAACCAAATGTGGTTTAATGCAACTTCTGATGTTCCTTGTGCAAGTGTGTTTCTTGGAAAAGATTCACACCGCGCTCGGCTGTCAGATAGCAGAACAAAATGAACGTCTGTTTGAGAATGTAAGCATTTTACAGAAGAATAACAGTGAAACAATTGTTATGTACTTCCCTTGCTAAAGAAGCTCATATTTTGGAGTACAAATGACTTTAGTTGGGCAAAAGAGAAGATTGATTAAGTTACTTACTGGAGGGCATGGTGTATGTGTCCTCTTCATCAACTATCTCTGCATAGTCATCAGTCTCTGTAACAGTAGATACACACATATAGTGTAAAAACACTCAAAAACACAATAGGACAAAATTAAAAATAAAAACACACAAGTTTAAAATAACATAAATACACAAACAATGGTAACCATCATGCACATGTTCAGTTTACCGTGTGTCCACTATGGTATGAAGGGTCACCAATACACACATACACACACACATTCAAGTGTGAGGTAAAAAACTACACTATACCCAAAAAACTAAAAACTAAAAGTACGAAGCTAGCTCAGAGTTTCGACAACTCCTGTGAAAAGCAACACCCACGTAGCTCCTCTCTTTTTCTCTTACTGCACACACACACACACACATACACGCAAACACTTGGCAAAGAGTGTCAGCTGAGCATGTGTTGTGCATATCTGTCTGTGTGAGAGCAGCTGGGCGGCAGGGAGTAACGGTGGTGGTGGTGGTGGAGGAGTGAAGGGAGAAGAAAAAGAGAAGAGACAAGGACAGAAAGGACAGAGTTCAAAAGGGAAAAAGGTGAAAATGACAGATATAGCAGGAAAGAGAAAACAGGAGAAAAAAGGATATGAGGATAAAGAGAGAGTAAGACGGTAAGAGGGAGACAACCACAGAGAGAGAAAGAAATAGTGGGTCTAGCTGTCATGTAAGCAGATGGTAGCGTTTAGGATCAAATCTGTGCAGAATCAGACAGATAGGCAGAGAGAGGGGGGGGGGAGAAGAGAGAGCCAGCAGGAAGAAGAAAAGGGAAAGATGGACCAAGTCTCTCCTAACCAGATGGTGGTGTTTAAAATAAAATCAGTGTGCAGAGTCAGCTGTTGGAAACAAGAGTCAAACATCTGCTGTCCTGAACATTACCCTTGCAGCTCTGCTCAGGATTTATCAGGCTCTGTGAGAGCCTGTCCCTAAATTTATCCTAAATCTTTTTAGAAACCCTGTGGGTGATTTTCTCAAAAAAAAAGCTCTGCCATCAAAAAAATCTGCCATTTAGAATAAGATGGAGAAAGCACAACTGGCTGGCAGTTCAGTTGTTAATATAAGGCAAGCTAAATAATACACTGGATGGTAGTAAAGGAGAAGGAAGCGTTTAATCAGCTTTCTTGCCAAGAGTTAGGTTAGAAGATTAATATCACTTTCATGTCTTTAAGGTAAACATGTTAGCTTAGTTTAGCATAAAGACTGGAAACAGTGGGACATAGCTTGTCTGACTCTGTCCAAAGGTTAAAAAAGAAAAACTCCAACCAGCACCTCTGACGTTCATTAATTAACATGTCATATCTTGTTTAATCATCAGACCAGGCTAGCTGTTCCCCCGTCTCCATTCTTTACGCTAAGCTAGGCTAACCAGCTGTTGGCTTCAGCAACAAAATTAGTGTACAAATATGACAGCGGAATAAATCCTTTCATCTAACTCTCAGCAAGAGCAATTAAGTGTGTTCCTCAAAGTGTCAAACTATTCCTTTAAGTATAAGATGAATGAAACGTGTAGGCTTTGAGGTTATACATTTTGCTATTTACTTTACAAGTGCAACAGTGCAGGAGAAGAAGTTGGAAAATGTTTATACTTTGAATCAAACAGGCATGACTTGCTAAACCATTGCTGTGCATGATTTATGTTCCACGTGAGAGGAAAGGGAAGACTTTAATGTGCCACTAAAAATATCCTCATATGAGCTAGAATAAAAGGAACCGCTCTGTTGCTGATACTCAAATGTATTAGTATAAACAACTTAAGGTGGTATTCATCAATGTTTATCCAGCCAGACTCGTGTTTCTGATGTTCAATGGTGTCTTTAACTTTTTCTAATGTGTTTGTTGCCTGCAGCTAACTTGAAAGGTTTCAGTTCTATATATTAAGATTTTTTAAATACTGTACTGTGAAGTCTATTGTTTGTTTTACTGCATTTCCGCTCCCATGAGGTTTGCGATTTTTTCGAAAGAATCAGCAGTTTTTTAAGTTAGACTGGTCTGATGCTGCCGCTTTCTGCTTGCAGTGGACGGATAATGTGTGCGTGTGCTTGTGTGTGTGTGATCTAGTTAGCCCATTATAGCCAGGAATGCACCCGCTCTTGAATCCAGCAAACCTCTCCCAACTCTACTCTGTGTGTGTGTGTGTGTGTGTGTGTGTGTGTGTGTGTGTGTGTGTGTGTGTGTGTATGAATGTATGCTAGTACACGTGTGTATGATTTTGTGTGTGTGTGTTTGAAGCCTGTGTGTGAGGAGAGATAGAACAGTTCGGAGAAGTTCCCTTAAAGAGAAATACCACTTAATTTCTAAATTCTGCTTTTTTTGTGTCGCTCTTGTTGTTAAAAGCAGACATATTTCAAAAAAGCACACAAACATCTGAAAACCAAAAACAATACTAATAGTAAACCACTCTAGCTGCTAACAGATCCAGCTCATTAGAGCTAGTGGGGATGTCTTCATGTTTTCATTCACTGAAACATGAGAAACAACACATTCAGCTAAATAACTATTTCACTCATTCTGTACATAATACAGCACAAACACACATGGCGCCACTGTTAAAGATGTAGGAATGCGTGCATAAATATGAACCCACACACCAGCACACACATGCAACCCTTTCCTGGGAGGTTGCGGTGTGTTGGTGGAGTGAGGACTATAAAGACGGAACAACAGAGAGATTAAACAACGGCATAACTTTACCATCCCCGCTAAGATCTTCTGCAGAGTCCAGGAGAGCATGCAGGAAACGGGACAGCAGAGGAGGAGGAGAATGTGGAGAGAGAGAGAAAGCAGCAAGGAGAGAGATACAAGCAGGAGGCAGAGCGGAGAAAAGAGGGAGAGAGAAGAGAGAAGCGGTTAGAGCATGAAAAGCCTTGAAACAACATGGGAGATGTTGCAGGATCTGCAAAGCCAAACACTCAACGAGCAGTTAGTTAAGATCCACAATATCTCCAGTGAAGAAAGCAGAGTTCACAACTTTCATTAATGCTGTGCAGACAAATGTAGGTGAAATTAACTAATGTAAGAAATAGCAACAGTATGAAAGGCAGAATCAGTGTCAAGCTGTAATATAAACAGTATGCACTTACAGTAGGGCTGCCCCCCTCATCGTTGCCTAAACCATTATTTAATGAGAAGAGTCTCAGTCAACCAAGTTTTCATTGGTCAGTTAGTCATAGTAAAAACAATAAACACCTTAAAGTCCATTCGGAAGCTGCGCCTTTTTGTTAGGGCCGAAATGAAACTACCAGCGTATTGTTGCAACACAGACCTTTTCTCTTGTAACACAGAAATCACGTACTGCTCTTGGACTGCTATCTCTGACATTAGGTAGTTAGCGGTTCTAATAGCTGACTCTACCCGCACTAGGAGATCAGAGTACAGGGCAGTGCTGGTGTTTGTTTACACCACTAACATAGGAGCTTTGGACACGGGGAGGAAAAGGTCTTTCAGGCCAAGGCTAGGGCCCCATTGGGGTATGCTGCCGGGGAGGGGGACCAGAATCAGCACCAGACCTGGAGCTGAACGAGCGGGCAACGGAACCGGCCTGATCAGTGAACACAGCTGGACAAAACACAACCTGTTGAATGACTGTTGATGTTTTAAGCATATTTTTAAGATTTCATATACACTGCTCAAAAAAAATAAAGGGAACACTTGAACAACACAATGTAACTCCAAGTCAGTCACACTCCTGTGAAATCAAACTGTCCACTTAGGAAGCAACAATGATTGACAATCAATTTCACATGCTGTTGTGCAAATGGAATAGACAACAGGTGGAAATTATAGGCAATTAGCAAGACACCCCCAATAAAGGAGTGGTTCTGCAGGTGGTGACCAGAGACCACTTCTCAGTTCCTATGCTTCCTGGCTGATGTTTTGGTCACTTTTGAATGCTGGCGGTGCTTTCACTCTAGTGGTAGCATGAGACGGAGTCTACAACCCACACAAGTGGCTCAGGTAGTGCAGCTCATCCAGGATGGCACATCAATGCGAGCTGTGGCAAGAAGGTTTGCTGTGTCTGTCAGCGTAGTGTCCAGAGCATGGAGGCGCTACCAGGAGACAGGCCAGTACATCAGGAGACGTGGAGGAGGCTGTAGGAGGGCAACAACCCAGCAGCAGGACCACTACCCCCGCCTTTGTGCAAGGAGGAGCAGAAGGAGCACTGCCAGAGCCCTGCAAAATGACCTCCAGCAGGTGTGTGTGCTCAAATGGTCTGAAACGGACTCCATGAGGGTGGTATGAGGGCCCGACATCCACAGGTGGGGGTTGGGCTTCTAACCCAACACCGTGCAGGACGTTTGGCATTTGCCAGAGAACACCAAGATTGGCAATTTCGCCACTGGCGCCCTGTGCTCTTCACAGATGAAAGCAGGTTCACACTGAGCACATGTGTCTGGAGACGCCGTGGAGAACGTTCTGCTGCCTGCAACATCCTCCAGCATGACCAGTTTGGCGGTGGGTCAGTAATGGTGTGGGGTGGCATTTCCTTGGGGGGCCGCACAGCCCTCCATGTGCTCGCCAGAGGTAGCCTGACTGCCATTAGGTACCGGGATGAGATCCTCTGACCCCTTGTGAGACCATATGCTGGTGCGGTCGGCCCTGGGTTCCTCCTAATGCAAGACAATGCCAGACCTCATGTGGCTGGAGTGTGTCAGCAGTTCCTGCAAGAGGAAGGCATTGATGCTAAGGACTGGCCCGCCCGTTCCCCAGACCTGAATCCAATTGAGCACATCTGGGACATCATGTCTCGCTCCATCCACCAACGCCACGTTGCACCACAGACTGTCCAGGAGTTGGATGCTTTAGTCCAGGTCTGGGAGGAGATCCCTCAGGAGACCATCCGCCACCTCATCAGGAGCATGCCCAGGCGTTGTAGGGAGGTCATACAGGCACGTGGAGGCCACACACACTACTGAGCCTCATTCTGACTTGTTTTAAGGACATTACATCAAAGTTGGATCGGCCTGTAGTGTGGTTTTCCACTTTGATTTTGAGTGTGACTCCAAATCCAGACATCCATGGGTTGATAAATTTGATTTCCATTGATAATTTTTGTGTGATTTTGTTGCAAGCACATTCAACTATGTAAAGAAAGGAGTATTTAATGGGATTATTTCATTCATTCAGATCTAGGATGTGTTATTTTAGTGTTCCCTTTATTTTTTTGAGCAGTGTATTTCATTCTCAGGGGCAGTGGAACTATACAGCAGTTTTGATCAATCATAACCCAAACAGGGTAGAGAGACCACACACCGGCACTTCTTAAAGGATAAGCTCGACATTTTAGGATATCGTTTTATTTGCTTTCTTGCCAAGGGTTAGATGAAAAGGTTGATGCCGTTTTCATGTCTGTACGGTAAATATACAGCCTGCAGCTGGTTAGCTTAGCTTTGCATCATGACTGTAAACAGGGGCAGTTACCTAGCCTGTCTGTGTCCAAAGCCTACAAAAAACACCTACCAACACCTCTGCTAAACTGTCTCCTACAAGAGCGGTGCTTTACAAACAAAGCTTTCGTTGTAAAGCTAATATTACCAGCTAAATTGACTTACAGTAGTTCACAACCAATTGGGGGGAAAAAAAGAAAAGAAAGTAGGATGTTGACCATGACAACATGTCACGTTTAGAGCCTTCAGCAGAAAAGGTTTGGATCATTTGTTAACTGTCTCTGAGCAGTCCTGCTAGCTATGGAGGAAAGCTGCCAAAGCCATAGATAGAGACACAAGGACATGTACTGATCAGTTTAGTATGTCAGCCTTGCTGCAAGACATTTATATACAGTAGATGGAAAACATTTCGGCAGAATAAAAACACTCAATAACATTGATGTGCTTTTTATTAATGCTAGTAATGTAAATAGGTTTTTCCTAGCTACAGAACTCCATCCCCGAAGTGGTTGCTGATCGCCTGTTTGAGGCCACTTTAACAGGGCAGACACTTTGTGGTTGAACCCAGATCTTTTAAATGGAAGAACGATCTCTCTAACCGCTTGGCCACTTAAGCTCTGCCTCTTTTAATTAACTGGCATAAAACACTGACATGTTCTGAACTAAGACTTGAGAGAACCTTTCACTCTTGTTTGTCAGTACTGGCTTCTTCCAGTCACATTATTCTGTTAAATCAAAGTAAGCGCTTTAGAAAGAGGAAAATGGAAAATGTCTTCAGTAGCACACATAAGCCTGGGGTTTTATAGAGATAACTCTCAGTTAGACAGCACTGCGCAATTCACAGTCTTTTTCCATTTGTTTCCAAGTCTTATTTAAAGAGCACTGGCTTGGTTATAAGCAGGAACACACAAGCAGTTATTGTGGTTGACGCATGTGTGTTTGAGTGTGTGCGTAGGACTGAATTAGACAAAGCAACCAGGCAATTAGGACAAAGACAGTTTAGCAGAAGAGGGCATCCTTAAAAATTAGACAGCTTGTGATGCAGCCGATAAAAGTGATCCATCCACATAGCAATTTTAACTTTACATTAAAAATAGGATAAAATCCGAAATAGCTGCCAAAACTGCATTGATATTTTGAATATAATTAATGTTTTTCTCAACTCCTGCATATTAAAATGTATTTATTGTGCAATCTTTCAGATTTCATCGATAAGCTACTGTCTCCGAGGTTTTTCTGTGCACCATCTGTGTTTTTTTAATGCAAAGTAACATTACACAATATGCACGCTCATCAAATCAGGAATTTTATTCCACCACATCACAATTTTGCGGATACGCTCCTCCACTAACTGTCCAATAAGAGCTGAGGATACCATTGGGCGGCGAATCTGAACAGAAGACAAAGGGGAGGAGGAAACGCCGTGCCTTGGTTGGCTTAGGAGGTGTCGATGTCACTAGGTCTGCAGCCAATCAGGCAGGAAAGAAGACCAGAGTGTGAAGAAGAAAAAACACACAATGAATGGATGCAAGTACAGAGGGGGAGAGGAGGAAGTAAACAGAAGAAAGCAGGGAACAGAGTGGACGGGATGAGAGGGAGAGGCAGTCCCAAGAGAGGAAAACAATGAGTGAGAGAAAAAACAGATGTTGGATATGGAAAGCCACAAAGAAAGACAGCAGCTGGAGCCACGGAAGCAATCAGACTGTGTGTTCATCTTGATTTGTCCGTGTCTGATCTTACCTGAGACAGAGATAGCTCTTACTCCACTCCTGACTGCTTCTAACTTTTTCTCATTATTGGACACTCTAGTGAAGAGGAGAAAAGTAAACAAACAACAAATTAGATAAAAATATAAAAAACTTCAAAGTAGTTAAAACATTACATACCTAGGTTAAATTGAAGCCTCTTTCACTTACATGTCTGTGACTTTTAAAGTTGAAAACTGCTTCTGTAAACTGACCCTCACTATTCCAATTCTCTCTCTGCCCTTAACGTGCGCTCTGCGTCTGTTACATCTGAGCTCTACTACGGGCTTTACATCTCAGACCACAACAGGCAGAGAGAAAAAGAGAGAAACATAGATGGAGAGACCAAGAGAAAGAGGAGGAGACTAACCAAGTGTTTAAAAACCGTAAGTGGAAAATATTTGGCTCCTAAACTTATCTCCTTATTTGACCAGAGAGAGAGAGAGTGAGAGAGTGGAGAAAAAGAGAGATATTTGAGTTGAAATGACCAAAAATAAGCAAAAGGTTGCGTTTGAGTTTGAGCAACGGACAGAATGTGAACGCACAACATCCAGGCTTCTACAGTCACAGAACAAACACATTGTTTGATTCTGTATTAATGTATATTGTCTGCTATGTAGCAGAAGGGAGTTACAAAACTCAATTTCACTCTATAACTTGTTATATTGTGACAATAAACCTACCTACATAAACTGCACATTGCAATAAAAACTACCAATGTTTCCCCTAGAAATCTTTTTTAAGGCCTTGCAGTTCTGAGCCAAAACAAACCATGTATTATGTTGTCCCTGTATAGTTTTTCTCTTTTTCTAAGAGAAAAAAAAATGCAGGTTTAATTATGGGTCACCAGTTTGGGCTTGAAACCATTTTTAAACTGATTAGTCTTTTGAGTTTTGATGTAATTTATTTTTGGACACATTGAACTACCATGTTAATGTAAGCCCACAGGGCTGCGCCTGACAATTAGTTTCATTATAGGTACATCTGTCGACTATTTTTACAAAAAGTCTATAAAACGTCATAAAACAGTCAAATAAAATGTCCAGAGACCAAGATAATGTCTTAACTTTAAAGATAATCAATTCATGATATGAAACAGAGAACATCAGCATATCAGCACATTTGAGAAGTGAACAAGTGAATGTTTGAAAAATAATAACAGAAATAATCCATTATCAAATTTGTTGACGATTAATTTAATGTCAATTCAGCTACTTGTTCCAGCACTACACTTATTTCCAACACATTTCCAAGACCTTTAATGAGAGACACAAAACATGCAACATAAACTATAACACCACAATCTTAAAAAATTCATTAATCATATAATAATCAAGTCACCTTACTTATTGAGCAATACCCTGACCTCTAAAAGTGTCTTTCGCTTACACTTTACTTGGATAGTCTGCCTACAGATTGTTTATAGAATATTTGTAACATTTCAGCAGGTTATTAGTTGAGAACTGTTTGGTTTGGTTAGGTTTAGGCAAAAAAAACATATTGGTTAGTGTTATGTTCATAAATTGTCACATAAACTATATTGATAATCTGTTTTACATCTACAGAAAAAGCAAAAACCAGTTGAAATGTTGCAAATACTCTGTAGGTGGACTAATAAAGCATTACCCTCTTTTGTTTTTGACAACTTGATATTTAATGGAAAGCTGGTCCACAGTGCAGCACCAGAATAAAAATACATTATTACATTATTACTACATTATTTACTAGAAGCACCTGGCCTAACTGTTAGGCTGAGTTTGGTACTCAGAGGAGCATTCCCACTGATGGTTTTGTATGTATGATGCAGAGTCTGTAGTTTCACACCGAGCTGTACGGGCAGCTGTCCCACACTTCATCACTACTTACATCAGTTTCAGGAGACACATTTAATACTGGATAGTATTATTTTACATCACCTGCAATTTGTTCCTAAATCTAGTTGTCAAACTACAATACCAAGCAAATTATGTCAACCCTTACACTTTGTTTGAACCTCTACTTAACTTTTTGTCTCCAAAAATTCAGAATTGTGTGACAGGACTGGCAAGCTCACAAGTAAATCTCCTCACAAAGGCAACAAACCATCTTTGAGTGAGACAGAAACTACAGATCTGATCACTTACAGTTGTGATATAAGTCAGTGTATAGACTTTACAGATGTTAATTTTACTGTAACAATACTGAGAATGAGACAGGTACTCACTTTGGGATGGAAGGCAGTGCTCTTTCTCCCTCTAGAGGACAAAACATACATAGTGAGAGTGAGTAATGAAGCACAATAAATGTATAAGACTACATGCAGGTCATGTTTTATGTCTCATTATACACGGAACACAGGACCTTACATACAGTACAAAAGCTCCAACAAAATAATTAATTCCTCATACAGCATTAGAATATGTACATTTAAAATACAACATGTCCATAGTAGGAGACTGGTGCTGTATTAAAAGTGGAGCACAGCAAACTAATTACAGACACTCCAGTACTTGATATAACAATTTAGCAATACGGATTGTTGCAGTGTCCAAAGAAGCTTTTGCTATTTTGCCAGCATGAAAGACGTTATAGAAAGCTTAAGAATAAATCAGTCCCACTTTATTTAGCCCCTGTCTACAGTTTATACAAAACTACAGGGTGTACAAGGTTGTATTTTAATATTTTTGCATAATCCTGAAGAGACGGGACAGAAATGAGGGATCTACCGCTTCATACCTTTCTGAACTCTGACAATGAGGGAATGAGTTTCCATGGAGACGAGCCGACAGTAACCGTCAATCAAGTCAGCCAAGTTCTCTGCCATGGTCAATGATGCTGTTGTAACTGTGAGAGGCTGCGCACACACACACACACACACACACACACACACACACAGTTGCAGGCCCGTTACAACGAGCCATTATCTCCAAATACACCCACACACACTTACACAAAAGCAGAGTGGGGGTTTCCAGCTTCTCCTTACGTCAGGGGAAAAGTCCTCTCACAGTATTTTTCTCTGTGTGTGTGTGTGTAAGTAAATCCAATACTGTAAAACCCAATTAAACAGAAATACTCATACAGCAGCGGCTTCCTCTGTGAGTCGAACCATTATGTGGAATCTATACATGGAAAACCATTACTTCATTTCTGTGTCCATCTCAGTCACACACTCGCACACACACACACACACACACACACACACACACACACACACACACACACAGGGCCAAGCTGATGGGCACAGCTTATGGTGGTTCTTTAGTATCCACTTACATGCATCCTACCCATTTTTAGACTCACAATGCTTCCTCAAAAATCATAAGCATTAGCAGCACATTTTCTATATTTTTAACGATAGCCCACAGCGTTGTTCTCTCTGCATCGAAACTTGCTTTTGAGTGGAGAAAAATAACTTCCAGTATTGCTGTGCATAAACTTCACATAAGATCCTCTTCTCTTGGTGAAACTAACCTTGGGAAAGGTAGAAATTTACCACCTGAATATGAGGCAGGCTGAGGGAAAGTGTATATGTCATAAAGATGGATTAGATAAAAAGAGGTGCAATGGGCATTGTCCTTTTATACAGTATAGTATCACAGAAGACTAAACAATAATGGAGCTACATATAAATGGAAATAATAGTTAAAAGATCACTATTTAGATTTAAAACAAAATGTACCGCTACAGCAAATTTCTACATCTAGACAAAAAGACAGTCAGTCAGTCAGACAGACAGACAGATGGACAAACAGACAGACAGACATACCTCAGCAGCTCCGGCTACTTTGAGCTGTAGCATCCCTTTCCTGTCCTTCTCCTCCATAGCCGAGTACTGGATAGACTGAACTTGGTTGAAGTTAGCTAGATGGGTGGGCTGGTGAGAGAGAGTAACACAGAAAGAGTGGAAATTAAAGCATGAAGACCATGCTTACCCTATCCATATACATTCATAATCAAATGACAGAGTAATATCTGTGGCTATCTTTATCTCAGGAGTTGAGCCTGTACTTTCATTTAAAGTTTTTGCTACCTTTTGTGGCACAGTTTGGTTGAAATATTTTTTAGATGAAGAACATTACAAGCAGAGGTCATTCCTAAGATAACCTATCTTAAACCTGGCTGTGTAGTACGATGTGGTCTTGGTAGGAACTCACCGTGGATCCCTTGTCAGTGAGGTAGCTGATCCCTTCCTCTGGCCCGATAGCTAACTCCACCTGGATCACCCAGCTGGACTGTTAAGAGAGAAGAGGAGGGAGATAAAGTTAAAAAAAAAAAAAGGAAGAGAGTGAGAGCAGAAATGAAAAACAGGAGAGAGAGAACAAGAAGTTGATTAAAAGAAATAGAGGAAAAGAATCCAGATTTTCATTCATTTGTAGTTCATAGCATAAGTCATACAATTTAAGACACAGCAAAGCGCCACATCTTTGTTACATGCAAGACCTGATGTCACCAAAAGGGGTCAACCTAACACAACTAACCAGAGCTTTCAGAGTTTCAGTACACAGCAGAGTGGGGGCAAGGATGGAAGAAACCTACCCCGAGGGCACATTTGAAGCACTCCTTGTCGTAGCGGTAAATTGGTGCAAGTATCTCCAAGAACTTCAGGATGCACTGCTCATCGTTGAGGTTGGCTACCTGCTTAAACGTCTGCTGAATCAACTTACGAAGAGTTTTAGCCTGAAGAGAGGAGAGAATTGGGAGGGGAAAAGAAAGAAAATTACAAAAAAATATTTAAAATATCATCTAGTGGAGTGACCAGAAAAGCTGGGAGAAGAAAGTGGAGGAGGCATGACGGGATGCGTGTGTGCAGTGTTTGTGAGTGTGTGTAGAGTGACACTAGGGAGGGGAATAGACTGATTGACTAATAGGCCACTCTCGTTCCAATCAAATTGACCTTGCCACTTCATTCTAGAAGCACTCTTAGTTCTGATCAATATCTTAACAAAGACACGTTGGTGCCGTTAGTTAACACTCAATTTAACATCAAAGCCATTCATCTGTAGTGTAACTTAAGCTCCCTCTACATGTAATGCATACCATTTTTTACTGTGTTAGTTGTGTTTTCCCTGCTGGCATCACAATCACACTTTCAGACCTGATATTATACATCACCAGAGTTACCAGATGGGGAGCTTGATGGGAAGAAAATCAATCTAGGAACATTATTCTGACATTTACAATCCTCTGTATACTTCCTCACTACACACATAAAGATGTGCAACACGCACGCGCGCACACACACATAATTTCATATATAATCCTCTTCATCTGATGTATATCTAAAAACACTGATTTATATTAAGAGGAATTCACCCTGACAAAATAAAGCCCTTTCCCTCCTTCATATGATGTTGAACTTCTATTCATATCTATGCACAGACATACATATAAAATGTATATAGAGGACAGTATTATCCAAACTCACTATGGACTATATTTAGTGAAAATACATACACACAGGCACACATACAGACAACCCCAAACTATAAATAGCTCTCCATATATAGATTAAGATAAAAGATTAGAGGAGATTTAGAGCACTACATCCCAGGCTTTAAAAAGTGTACGTGGATTTACAGTAGACTGGTTCACCACATTAAGGTCATTCTACTCAAAATAAAGAGTTTAACATTTAAATTTGCAACCAAAAAACAATCAATTGCATTGATTTATTGACTTCAGATGTAACTGAGACACAAGCAACTGACTGATCTCAGGTGGATCTAATGAGGCCCAAAAATCATATTATCAGAAGATGTGCAGTGTGTATAACCCCTCTGTGTGTCCTTAACTTTTAACATTTTTGAGTGCAGAATGACCTACATGTGCCTGTGTGTTCAACTATATGTGTGTGTGTGTGTGTGTGTGTGTGTGTGTGTGTGTGTGTGTGTGTGTGTGTGTGTGTGTGTGTTTTCAACAGATGTCTTAATACACACGTGATTACAGAATATAATGTGTATGTGCTAATGTGTTCTTCGTGCTCTTGATAGGATCAACGTGTAAATTCCTAGAATTCCACGACGCACACACACACACACACACACACACACACACACACACACATCTAGACACAAGGGAATATGGTTAGTCCAAAGTGTCCACCCTTCCTGAGAGGAAGTACTGCGAGTGGCTATCGCCCTCCCCATCATCAAGCCGACCATCTCTGTAACAACTGAGTTCAGGAAAGACACGGTGAGGGCTGTGTGTAGTAGGTCTCTGTTTTCTTAGCTGTAGAGGCTGGTGGAAAAAAGTCTTTACTGTAGAATAGTCCAATACTATGTTGTGTCATAGTGACCTACCTAAACTTGAACAACGGATTACATGTACTTTATCAGAGAAAAGAGAACATTCTTCAAGCTCTCTCAGGCAGAGCAAGGACAGGAGTTATATTGAAAGCCTTTATTTAGTTGGTTATATATCATATTGGTTAAAACACAGACCGGTTTGGACCTCACCAGGTCTTCATCAGGGCAGAAAGTACAAAAATCACTGAATGTGATGAAGGGATAATACAGCCTCCTCAGCTCAAGCAGGGCTGTTTGTTCAAACTTTGATCTCTAAAGCCGCTAAAGGTCAGTGTTACAAAACCTGCTCCCCAGCCTGTCAATATAAATGAACAGACTCTGCTCTTTATAACGCTGTCACCACAGCACCACATCAGTCACTGTTTACAACCACAGCCATCTGCTCTAAGGTTTGTGTGTGGGTGTGCGTGTGTGTGTGCGTGAGTGCATGTGCTTGCGTAAGTAGAGTCCATTGAGGGTGAATAATCCCATTAAATGACTACCATTCTCTTTCACCAGAGCGAACGGCAGAGGCGCAAATGACAGCTGCGCTCTGTCTCTCTCTCCTTCTCTAACACACATCTATGTATGTACATAAGAGCAGATGTGTTAAACACTTGCATATATTAGCATGACTGTTTTTTTACTGCTAATATATGATATAATTATGCATACAAAACTACTCAAAGATAGATGCAACCAACTCAATAGGACTGAAGGTAATTTTAATTTTCGATTTTTTTTTTCTTGAGTAATCGATTAATCGTTTGGTGCCATAAAAACTGAATCGCAACAGTCCAAAACCCAATGATATAAGATTTATTATCATGTTCTTAAAATTGAGAAGCTTGAACCAGACAATGTGAAAAAATTGTCTAAAGAATAGATTACAGGGTAACTTTTTTAACCTGGAAGCTTATTTTCGTATGTTTTTGTGTCTACAAGTTCTGCTGCAGTCAACATCCTAAATTACAACACTGGCCAGGCAGCTACAATCAAGTCAGATGTGCCAATTTATGGATGTTTGACTGCACATGTGTGTCACTGTGTGCCTCTTCGTGGCTTCTAAAACAGGCCTCAAGGGGCGTGTGCATGTTGTCATGTCTGCAGAAGAGCAGATCATGAGGGAAAGAGCAGAGGAGGTGAAGTTGGTAGGTGGGCAGCTGATGAGGGGGGAGTCAGCAGAGCCTGACAGACTGGGGGGGGGGCACATTGATGCCTCCCCGTCACTCCTCATTGTTGGAAAGAGAAAGTGGGTTTAAACATGACCTGAGGGTCACGCACACACACACTTAGTTTATATCGCTCTGCCGAGCATCTGTCTGCCCGCCTGCTGACATAAAGACCTTTTCGGGTCACTGGGCCTTTCCTTCATGCACACAACACCAAGACCCTCCCCATATACGCGTGCCGTAAATTTATCAATGACACAGACACTGCTCAGTATGCGAACACGCCCTCAGCCATCACATACAAACATACACAACCAAAAATCTGCCAATCTACAAATTAAGCAATTTGTCTTTTCTAACACAGAAGTTTTATTTACCATGTAAATGTTATAACTGTAAAACTGGTAGGTGCTGAAGCTCTGCTAACCATCAATATGAAACACATTCCAGTAGAAACCTTGATTTAGAGGACCTGTTATGTAAGTAATATTGCTTCATGTTACATTTAAGCAGGTAATAATACTGTGTAAATCCTGTACTGTCGACAAACTTTAGATTTTGTGTTTTTTAATTCATTGTGATTTTACCATTTACTAGATTTACATGTAAATTAGTATCCTGGCTTTGAGTCTTATCCTAGTTTTGGTCTTATACAAGGTATGCTGTTTACCTGGAACATGGGAAACCTGGTTATTCGTGTTTCTGTACACATGATCATTAACAGTATCCAGATTTCTGATCATCTGCTTGCGGGTGTGTCTCTTTCCTCCTAAAAATCATTACACCATTAATCATCATATTATTTCTTTTACTAACTAACTACTATTACTTTTACTACTAATTAACTGGTTATAAGGTTTACATGAAACAGTACCCCGGCTTCTATTGGCATACTCTAGCAAGCATGTTCCTGTGACCAGGACATGATGTTTACATTCATACAGTATATCAAAAAGGTTGTGTAACTGTATATTAGTTGTAATTGTATACATGAACGGATAAGGCACCTTATCAAGAGTGAAGCTAACAGAAAAATGGATTCTTCACTGTTGTTTCACTCATCAAAATACAGCTCATAAGTGGGTTTTCTGGTAAATGTTAATGCTTTTTCCAATTCTTTCTGCTATTCATGTAAACTTCAGTGTTAGCCAAGATTTCATTTCAATTTTGCTGAGTCTTGGACTGATTCACACTCTGTCAGCCAGACCAGACAAGCCCTGACAACACATCAAGTAGCACATTCAAAGAATTGGCTTAGAGGAGCCTTCACTTACACTATGAAGCTGCCAACAGAACCACAAGGTTCTGGTTACTTTTGGGAAGTGACTGTGATGGCAGCTGCTGAGTGAGGGTAGACCATTACATACTTACAGGACACCAATATTTTGATCAGAAACCCTCTTATTGAACAATATTTTAAGAGGAGAGGGTAAATAAGGTATTTGTTTCAGCAACGTGACACATTGTACTTTGTGTGATCAACCTCTCCTTTGATCTCAGTTGAAAACTTAATCATTCTCACCTTGACTGAATCCAACAGGTCTTTTGGGAAAAAACGCCTCAAACCAACGTCTTTCCTGGAAAGTGATACAGAGAGAAATACAGAAGAATGTTTATCATGCTCTAATAACACAGAGGAATGCTAATTGACAAGCACTTCTGTCTTTATCTGATCTCGGCAGATTCTTTTTCTCCTCGGTGGAGAAATTACCAACAACAGCTACAGACAGATACAGTTAGGCAGACAGGCAACTCAAGACAAGAAACAGAAAACAGAAAGCTATGACTAAGTGCTGACTACGGAGCACTACTCATCTTTTCCTAAGAGACAAGGCTGAGGAAAAACAGAGGGAGCAGAAAGAGAGATATATAGAGAGAGAGAGAGGCAGGGAGAAGTACAAAGAGGGAGACCACAAAGACAAAGAAAGATGTGCAGAGCTAAAAGAGGAAGCTAGCTAATGACTCAAACTACTCTGGAGAAAAGTGAGAGGGGGAGGAGGAGACAGCCAGTGTGGAGAGAGTAAGGGAAAGGCTGATAGCTCCAACATAGGCCAAATATCAGAAGGTGGCGTACTTTAATTTAAGAGCAATTCAGATGGCGTCGAGTATGTTTTAAATCTCAGGAAAAAATAAATAAATAATGCTATAAATAAACTTTTACATGCTGCCTTGTGGTTGTCTAAACTGCCAGACTAAGCTGTCTCAGCTTAAATCATTCTGCTCTATGGCAAACACACATGTAAATACTATTATTTTCACTTGGGGCTGTCCATCATCTTGTCTACGAAAGGACAAATTTATAAAACATGTTGTATGTCGTCCCCTAAAACGGTTCTCTCTCTCTCTCAAAAATCAAAGCTGTGTCCACCACAGGAGCAACAAGAAGCACAAACAGATACATTAAATGAAATGAAAGACGACACACCAAGCCAACCTTAAACATGGAACACCGACAAAGGCCCACTGATTACACGCTGTGCATTAGCTTACAAAAAACAAGGACTGCAGCCAACTACAGCTAGCTGATCTTTTCAACACGCTCATATGTTCAGTGGCTGTATAACAGGGACTAACCAGTCAGAAGTTTGTCCTCCTGAACCATACAAATACAAGCAAAACAAATTAACCTACCAATTTCACACTAATGCAAATATGGGTCAGTAATTTGCTAATTATTTCCTAATAATGTCCTGGAAAGTTATATGTAATGCTACAAATTAGAGGAAAAATAGAGATTCAATTGGTACACTCTCAGTTAATTAAGTCTAATTAACTGCTAGCATAACCTACAGAACATGCAAAAAAGGGAAATTAAAGCTCATTCCAGGAAACGTCTAGAAAATAAAAGGGTTTACTTGTGGTCTTTAGCTATCAGAAGAACAAAAAGAAGAATTTTTTAAAGCTGAACAAATAAAACTCTCACTGTCTTTTCCACCAATAATTCAAAATTGTCAATGGCTATCAATAAGGACCGACTAGATCTAGACACTACCTGTAATGTACGGGCAGAGATCAACTACGGAATTTCATCAAGAACACTTATGGCCTACTGTCAGCTTGGTGAATCAAAGCCCCAACAGCACTTCCCCTCTCTCCCTCTCTCGCTGCTTTAAAATATGCATGACAACATCTTTTTCTAATCAGCAGAGCGAGCCAGCGAGGGAGAGATAGAGAAAAAAAAACAAAGACGAGAAGAAGACAGGAGAAAAACAGACAAATATAGAGGATGAAAGCGTAGAGAAGAGCGGCAGACAGACAGAGAAGGACTGAGAGGACGAGGAAGAGAGACAAAGAGATATCGGCGGAAAGACAGTGGGCATTCTTCTCAGTTAATTGGAGAGCTCGTTAGGCTGACGGACAGGAAGAAAGACTTCATTGGAAGAGGGCAGCTCATTAGAATCAGACCATGTAAGAGCCGAGCCTCGTTAGGGCCAGAGTTTGTCAATGTTCTTCGTCGTCATCCATATACCGGAGAGCCAACGCCGACAGAGCAGCCAATACCAAATAAATCTACACAAATGAAGTATTAAACATGGGGTGATTATGTAACTGAATAAACGCAGTGTTGAATATAGGAACTGGAGCTAGAGGGTAGGCTGTCTTCGCACCAGTTAATGTAAAAGCATGTCAAATCACAGTTGGACTGAAACTAAAATGAACAACTATTTCAATATTTAAATGTTCCCAGACTTTCGTGCAATTCCCAAACTCTTAGCGAAATCCATTGGAACTGCAAGAGTAACCATGAATCAAAAACTGAGATAATGTGTTGTTTTTTTCTGTTATTTCTGCTGGGTTACAAAACTTATTACCAGGTAGCGGAGTAGTGTGGTGTACCAGAAAAGTTGTGTGCTGGACTGAAAGTGAACTTTGCTCATGAAGACTTACTCCAGTAGTTCATAGTTGGATTTCTTGTCCAAGGCATTTCCCCTCATCTCCTTGAAGAACCTCCTGGAATAAAAACCAGTGGGACACAGAGAGAGCAAGGTCAGATCCATTCACTGCAGACAGGGATCATTTGTTAAATGCGTACCAAAACTAATCAGGTTTTAAATTTTAGCAGAGCCAGGATTTCTGGCACAACTTCATCCAACGGGCATGGAGAAGGGAAAAAGCAACATTTGTAGTGTGAAGAAAATCTTTATACCAACACATTTTGGGGTCATCATGATGCCAACGACCCAGGTTTTAAATTTTAATCATAAAAAAAGCACACTCAAATTAAATAGAATTACATTTATTGTTTTTTATATTAGTATAAGAAGTATGTGTGACAAATGTTGGAAGAATACATAAAAAAACTATATAAACTGTTGAAGGTATCATGAAAAAAGAAAATAGCCGTTAAACATAAAGAATTCTAGTAGTTTGAAGTCTCGTTGTATATTGAAGATGTAAGTTATTTGTGAATGAGAGCCATCCTACCTGATTTCTAGACAGCCCAGCTTGAGAGCTACATCTTGTTCTACCTGATGCCCAATCTCTGTCATGTAGTCATTCTTCACCTGGGAGACACAAACGCAGGCCGCAAATATATCTTTGTTATAACAATTATCTCTACAAACAACAAATGGCAAGCCATCTATCTCACACAAATACCAAACAGTCCCTCTGACCTAGATTACCAAAAGGCAAACACCCTTCAAGCAGTGCCATCTGTCTCAGTGCCGGCAGAAAATGAAACGTGTTTGTGTGTCTGGGTGCCTTTGTGTGTTAGTACGTCTCTTTGTGTGTGTGTACCTGGTGGTAGAAGTAGTTGAGTGTAGGTTTGTCTTCCATAAACTGCTGCACAAAGCCCTTTGGAAGATACCGGATCCTTAATTCATACCTACAGAGGAAAAGAATAAAGGGAGAGTGAGAGTTGTTATGCAACAATACCATATTCCAACTTAAACAACGACAACATGCAGCTTCTATATCTTCTGGAAAGAAATGTTGGGATAAAGCTGTTGCTAGCCTGCTAGCCATGCTAACGCCCACAGTTTATGGTCACTTTTCCACACTATTTCCTGTCTGCATGCAGCTAAAATTCACAGAGCAAAACCAGGTCTAACAGCACCTTTGCAACCACTCATCAGGTCATCCAATCAAATCACTGCAATGCAACAGTTCTGTGTTGGACATGAGCGGTGACACTGAACAAGCTTTAGCATCAAGCGGGAAGCTTCCGGTCAGAGACGTGAGGCGAATGCAGAAGTCCCTTAAACCTGCATTCTATAGAACGGCCAGCAGGGGGCGACTCTTCTGGTTACAAAAAGAAGTCCGGTTCCATTAGAAAAAATAATGGCAAAATGACCCTACTTCTCACCTGATTTATTACCTCACTAAACATTTTCATAATGAGTTTATGGTCTCAATCACTAGTTTTAAGTCTTCTTCAATTCAACATGATGTTCATTTAGTAAATTATGGTCACATTTAGAGGAAAATAGACTGTAAAGCAGAATATGCGCAGAATACGCTTCAGGGCGATTATCTGATTATCTATTGACAAGTCATTACCATGGCGACCTGTCAATCAGGTTAGAGTAACTCATTCCCACAGCACTGTGTAAATTCAGCGCTGTTGAAAAAGCTCATTAGGAGTTGGCTGTTCCCTTTGTCTGGTGAGAACATTTAGTTTTAAGCCTGTTCAATAGACAAAATTATCAACCTGGTTAAAATGACGATAGATACACCTAGCTAAGCAAGCTAGCTAGCTCCACACACAGCCTTTAGCTCCACCAAATACGGTCATGTCCGGTGCCGATGGCAAAAAAAAAATCAACATGACGGCGGCCTAACGGCCAAACTCGAGGCTTCAAAAAGGCAGTCCACAAAGCAATGGGTGAGGTCACAATGACCATGTCCACTTCTTATATACAGTCCATGTTTAGCATAATGTGTTTGACATAATCTTCGATATGTTAGATTAGTATATCGACAAGTCATGAGACACACACTATCTTCTTCCCTCACCTCCACTCCTCGTTTGGTCGTGCCTGTTCGTAATTCTCTCTGATGTGGGACACACCCATATCGGGGTGGAGCCAGTGCACCTGGTCTCTGGATTGGCTGTTGCTGAGACGCAGGCCAAAACAAGACGTCCAGCGCACTTTGTGAATGTCCAGAATCTTCTGGATGATTCCCTGGAAACAAAGAGTATACAATTTTACTGTGATATCCCACTTCCTTTGCACAGTTATATAATCTCTGTTTAAAGAATAAAAAAGGCAATAAAATATTTATTTTTGTGAGACTCAAGACTGATATTATGAAAGGATAAAGTATAAATTAGTCTTAGCACTGGAGTAGTGTGGTGAGTGCTAAATAACACAAAGATGCCCAGTAGACAAAAACAGTTAGCCAGTCTGCAAAGATGTCAGTCTACCATACCTCAGTGTGCCAACTGTGCTAATGTTTATGTCTGGCATTTTTTTCATCAGGTCAATGAGGGCAGGAATCCATCCATGTGTATGTGTGTAGGTGACTTGAAGCAATTTAACATGACATTCCCACCCAAACAAGTTGACAGAAATCATACACGCACGCGCGTGATAATGCTCACAGCACCATGTGTTGCCATGTAAAATGCTAGGGGGTCTGACCCAGATACTGAAGGAGAAAGGGAGCAGAGAATATTTACAGTGACTTATCCTGTATGGCCACTAAAGTTTGAGCAGTGCTAAGTAGTTTCTGCGTCACGGGAGCAGCTCTAAAAGCATGCTGCTAAGTAAACCTACTCTAGTACACACTCGTACGCACACAGAATGTGCCCAGAGGTTATATTTGCTTGCAAAATATTTTCTATTACGCGAGTGTCCTTTATCAGAGCAGATGGCTTAGATCTTGAGCTGTGGAATAACGAATAAACGACTGCTGATGGTAAACAGCAACATATACGAGGTAGAGATAGTGTCATGAACTACAAATAGTACCACTGTAAAAGTTATATGGTTCAGTTTTGGTAGAATAAGGCTGGAGATATTCTGTATTTAACGGGTTGATAACAAAGTCCATGAAAAGACCCCAATGTCCAATAACTGTGGATGACATGTTCCTTCATTACCACAAACACTTAGCCAATTCCATATATAAGTATTGCTATAATATATGCTAAGTATTACAGTGCCAAGCTGTTTTAGGAAAATACTTTGAGCCGAGCTGCTAACATTGCTAAAAAGGCTAAGAATGGCAAGGTCTGTCTGCTCTGTCCACCTTTTTAGTTCAGACTGAAATAGCTCAACAAATTTTCCATGAAAATGTTGCACAGACATTAATTGTCCCCAGAGGATGAATCCTACTGACTTAAGTGATCCCCTGAACTTTCAGCAGGTTGATACTAGATGGATTCCTGTGAAATTTAAATCAGGGATACATTTTCACCAAAGGATGAATTTGGTGATGCCCAGACCATTCATCTAGCAGCTCTATCATCAGATCAAAAAAGTAATTTGTCCAGTACTTTGATTTATGACCAAATACCTGCAAAACTATTGATGGTGAACATGATGAATATACCTGCTAAAAATCAGCACGCTAAAAGCCAATGCCGATGTTAGCATTTTGCTAACCACCACTTTATTTAAGTACAGCCTCAAAGATCTGCTAGCATTGCTGTAGACTCTTAGTTTTGTTTTAAAAATGAAGCTCTATACTTGTGACCCATTTGTAAAGATTTATGTCTTTCAGGGGAAAAAATTGCCTTGGGGGTGTCAACATGAATTCACTAGTACATGGTGGGATAAAAGCATTATGTGTCTCTTCTTACTCTGACATCAGTTGCATCGCCATATCTGATGTTGGAGGACCAGCAGCTGTTTTCAGTGTTGGTCTCAAAGTGGTGGTAGACTTTAAGAACCCTGTCCACTGAGCCGGCCATGGTTCGGTCCGACCCCCCCGCGCTCAGCCTTGATTTGGCTCCTCCCAGGAGGGCATGGTTCAGGTTGGGGTCTAGGTAGGCCGTCGCCATGGTTTTCCCTGCTGACACTGCTGCTGCTGCTAGGTGTCGGTCATATTCTGGGCAGGAGAAAAGAGCAAATAAAGCACAGGTGAAATAAGGAAGAGTAAAGACTAGAAGAGAGAATACGACACTTTTTAACTTAATCCCTCCTATGAGATTTTAACCTATAAGAAACAGCAAAAAATACCCTAATGCACAAGGGCACATATTCAAATTGCTTGTTTTGTGCAACCAACAGTCTAAACCAAACAGATAGAGTTTACAATTATATAAAACAGAGAAAAGCAGCAAATATACACATTTAAAAAGCTCAAACCAGAGAGTGTTTCATGTTTTTGCTAGAAAAAAATACATAAATTATTACTCAATTATCAAAGTAGTTATCCACTTATCAATTCTTAATGCTCTACTTCAAATTGTTTGTTTTGTCCGACAGCCATCGGACCCACAAACACTAAATTCATTCATAAGACAAAGACAAGCAGCATATCCTCACATTCAAGATGCTGGAACCTGCAAATGTTAGCGTTAGCAGCTTAAACAATTACTGAAACAGTTCTTACAACATAATAATAGTTGCCAGTTTTATTTTTAGTGATCTACTAAGCGATTAATAGTTATTAATTCATTAGTTATTAGTTTGTACAATGTAATATAATACGTGTTTTCTTTCTGCCGTTAATTATAGACTGATGCACTTGAGGATGCACGTGATGTAGACTTGAATCCTTAATGTTGTCTTACTTGGAACAAGCCTTGTACAGCAAAGAACCATCTTGGCAATATGGTTCTTTGGCAAAGTAAAAAACTAAGATGAAAGACACTGAACAATGTGATACCAGAGAGAGAAATAAAGAGAGAGAGAGAGAGAGGGGTGCAGTCAGGGTCAAGGCTCAGTATGTAAGCACCTGTGTAAAACACAAGGAAGACAATGCACCTCAGGCTGCTGTTTTTCCTGAATAAGGAGTCATGACATTGACGCACTTCCTGGAATTTAATGGTAACTTCTTCTGTGTCCTCTATGTCTGCGTATCAGTGTGCAAGACGTGTGTCTTTGTATGTGTGTGTTGCTGTAATAGTGAAACTGTGTAGAAAAAGATACTGAGATATCTTTCACTCTTTCTTTTTCTGCTTCTCTTCCGTCCTGTGCTTGTCCTCTCTCCACTATTAAAAGGAAAATTGATATGCTCTAGCAGGTAATTACTCCTGAGAGAGCACACACACACACACACACACACACACACACACACACACACACACACACACACACACACACACACACACAAACACTCGTACAAAACACACAAACATAACTCAGAGGAAAGACTGTAAAGTTGTTGAGGGATATATCACAGTAAGATAAAAATGTCCTCCCATGTTGTGCTTCCAATTCCAAATGGTAATGACTTTTCTATCGACAAATGACTCCAATAGCTTTCAGCACTTTAGCCTTTCTCTTTCTCTAGCTCTCACACACCCACACACACACACTCAACTGCAGAGCAACGGTAGCTTTGGCTGTACACCCAGTCAGTTCCCATGGAGTCAGATGTCACAATGTGGACGGGCTTCGTCCTCCTTGTGTTTGTGTGTATGTTTCAGTGTGTGTGTGTGTGTGTGTAAAGAAGATTTCATTCATACCTCTGTCCCAACACATGGGGAAGGGGCTACAGCCGCTCATCGCCATCGAAACACATGTCTGTCCCTCCCTGTGTCGGTCTGGACCGAGGACAGACAGACAGCTAGCGGTCTCACAACCACGCATCACACACACTGAACCCTTCTTGTGCAGAAGTTACACAAATAAACACACACAGACAAACACAGCAAGGACCTGTTACAGCTGCAAGAACATGCTCACATAACCCAAACACTAAGACACACACACACCATCTCCAAAGTAGAAATCTTTTGTCAACAGCATCGTTAGCATCGTTACTTCCAGAGGGGTAACAGCAGAAATCCTCAAAAAGGCCAGTTTTCTGGTCTGGTGACTCTTTGTGTAAGTGTGAAGATGCTACAGAAAACAGACAAACAGCGAAAATGTAAAACTATTCTCGTCCTTCTTAGAGTTTACTTCTTTGTCAAGTCTTGTCTTCTTAATCGTTTCCTGTGATCCAATGTTTAACCAGTCCAGAAAGATACCCAGAGATTTAAAATTAGTTGTAAAATTAGTTTCATCCAGAAAATTCCCTCCTCTTCTTCTTCTCTCCACTTCTCGATAACTCCTCAGCGGCCCCTCTCTGATGACAACACACTGTTTGTTTTTTGCCCAATTTCTGCCCCATGCCTGCACTCCATTGTTTCACAGTTGCCGTGGATTTGGGTTATTTCACTGAGTCCCCCGTGCCTCCTCCAGCAAAAGCTCCCAGACAAATCCAACTTGTGCAGTGTTGATTCAATGGAGATTCAGTTAGTTGGCGGTCACACAGAAGGAGAGACAATTACTGTGCTCAGTGATAAACAAAAGAGAAAGTTAACTTCTTCCCTTGGAAAAAGAAAGTGCGAGAAAAGAGTGAGACAGAAAAACAAAGGAAACAGAGACAGTGGGACAGAGAGGCAGAAAAAAAATGCAGCGATTGTATCAAGGTGAACGAGAGGAAAAAGAGGACAGAGCAGCGCAGCTGAAAGAAAGTTGAGTGGGGAATGAGAGAGATTGGGAGAGATCTGCTGTTGGAGGAGCAGGAGGAGCTAGAAACTATTAATATGCTAATCTGGCTAGTCTCTTGTGTTCAATGGAAAAAAATAAAATCCTCCCACTTCTGTTTAAGGAAGCTGACCTCAGAACAGCCCTTATATTGTACAATTACTGCTACCATTGCAAATGTAAGGCAAAAGAAGGGTAGAGAAAATTTGTATTTCTACTCACAGATACTATAAGACACATCCACAGTATTTAATTCACTGAAGATAAAAGAAAAAACTAAACACAGATGTAAAAAGAAAACCTGGACAATAACAGTAATCGCTGATCAGAAGCACAAACCCACTTTAGTCCTCCATCAACTCCCATCATATACTCATCCCAAACCAATTTAAAGCTGAACAATAGGCTCTATATTTAACTCTAAGGTGAACTGCAACAATCCCCTGAACTCTACTCTTCCAGGCTGTCCACGATGACCAGCTTAGCCAAACTAGACAAGGAAATCCTCAGAACTGCCATATCTTTTTTAACAAAATATTGTGGACAAAAAATAAACAAATGAAATTAAAATCTCCCAAACCCTAAAGAGAAGAGCAGAGTAGAAAAGAGCGTTTTTTTGCCAACACAGACACTGCCTTGCTGTGCCCAGCATGCAAACTAGCTGCGACAAACAAACCAATCCAATTCCAAACCACAAGGTCTCAATCAATCACACTTCATACTGCACATTCAAAGTCATTACTTTGAGGTCACACTCTCTCTCTTTCTATCTAGAGTGCTCGAGGTGCTGTCCCATAGGCTCATATCCAAGGCAACGCGCAATGTCCTGCGAGCAAAGGTGCCACCTATCTCTGTGAGTGTTACTGCTGACCAGATGCCAGCCTCCATTAATCAAACGGACATTTATCCGCCTGAACACATGCTCAGCTGAAGAACTGAACAAACCTCGACGAGCTACTGAACACAAACACAAATGCACACAGCAGACTCACAGAAACTAGAAATCTTAATGGCACCTTGTGGGTGAGACGGTGAACAGTGTGTGTGTGTGTGTGTGTGTGTGTATGTGTGTGTGTGTCAATTTCAGGCACTGGCCATTGTTCTGATGAGAGCAGGGGGTTTTAGTAGTGTGTGTGTGTGAGGAGGGGGGGGGGGGGGGGGGGGGGACTATTGAAAGCTTTTTGTCAGGGGGCCGGATGCTGCCGCGAATGGGAAGCGCTCTTTTGGGACTGTGCCAAAGTCTCTCTCTCTCTCTGCCTCTGCCTGTGTGTGTGTTTATGAACACATCATTATTTTAACAGCGGAGGGAAACACAACACCGACTATCTACTAAATGCAATTCAAAGAATTTAAAGATGCCAGTCATTTATTGTCTCTGTTTTTTAGGTTGACTGTATAGAATAACACCTGTCCAGGGACTACAGATGAAAAATAGTCTTTTAGCTAACTCTGGCACATTTACATCAATGTTTTATTAATGTGCACTGTCCCTGATGAATTAAACAAATAAATAAAAAATACAAATAAACCTCAAAACTGTAATAGCTACTTTGATGTTTTATCAGTGGACAATCAACGTGTTTCTGTCGATGCTTTGAAATTAAAACTCAAAGGCTATTTGAATTACAAACGTATTTTACCTCATAAATTTAAAAAGGATTTTTCCTGCCTGTAATCTACATCACTCTTTACTCCACTATATTACTCTTTTGATACAGACCCCTCAATTTTTTTCATACCTGTGTCAAAGGTAAAGCAGAATTCCACTGTACACACTACAGTCCCAGTTTTCTACTGACAATGTCACAGCTCCATCTGTCAATTTTCTAATATGGCAATGAAAATGTAATTAGGTTCCACTGCTCTTACAGTCCATCCATCCATCCATCGTCAACCGCTTATCCTGCGTACAGGGTCGCGGGGGGGGGGGCTGGAGCCAATCCCAGCTGACATCAGGCGCAAGGTGGGGTACACCCTGGACAGGTCGGCAGTCCATCGCAGACACACTTTACAGTGCCAAATGTATTTTGAAATGTACTGCTGTGCCACATAACAATGACTAAAACTGGGCATACCAAGTGACCGTATTAAAAACACCCCACACCTGAAGGTTATCAACCAAGGCATGAAGGAACAAAACATAAACTAACAAGACAGCATTCTTTAAATTAAGCTGACAAAACCACAACACCATTGCTGCACACACCGGAATTACCCTTAAAACATCCTGTCCAACTTGGCCTCTGTATCTACAATTGCATTTTCATTCTCCTGTCTCCTCATAGAGTATTGTGAAACACACAATTTTATAGTTGGAGAGAGCAGAAAGCTGACACTCATTTATCTGCAAATATGCTTTTAATTTGTGTGGCAGCATTTTAGATTGAGTTCCAACTGTAGCATTATGTTCCAGGTCAAAAGAGCAATAGGAATTGCTGGACACTGGCAACTTAATTCTTTCAGGGCACGATGCCATGACATGTCAGAAATATGCTGCTTACTTTATTTCGGTACTACAAAAGGAAAAATAATTACACCCTCAGACTGTTGAGAGCTAAATGTGGACTGTCTTCATGGATCATATTTTGTTACCGGCATCTACGGTGTGAAGATTACAATTAGTCACAAACTCCAACTAGAGCGATGTTCACTCTCCCTCAGCCCTGTCTGCACTAATAAAATAATTCACCACACTCACACACAGATAGAGTCCCACTCTGTCTGCTTTCTCTCTTGTTTAATTGTCTTACACACTCGCAAACATGACTCACATAAAGATGTGCGATTAGTGTATCTTCTCATTAGTACCAACACAGATTACAAGCATCTTGAGCTCCTGAGGATATTCTCAACAGTTTAACTCTTTAATAAGAGGATGTCAGCACACACGCACAAACAATAACACAGCACATATACTGATTCCCATCACACATATGCGATTTATAGGCTTTTTAACTTTAATCTTGACTCATGTTGCCACTTTGCCCATTTTCTAAATACAGTAAATGTTTCCTACTATTTAGTGGACCACAGAGGGCTTATATTAACAGCAATTCGAACCATCTTAATATCTTTGCTTTCCCTCAATATACTACAGCATAGTGGGCGAAGTAATCCTATAATATAGTATCATATAGTATAATAATATAGAAACTTTATTTACACTGTAATCCCTTCTAGGAAATAAAATATTACTGAAATGAAACCACTCCTGGAAGCGGATTTGTGATCATCAGTGCTGTTTGCAGGTGAGTACAAGACATGAGGGTCAGCTACTCACCGGTGTAGTAGGCAATCCTGGAAATATCTGAAAGACAAAGATAGAAAGAACAGAGTTAGCTGGTTTGTTTAAGTACGAGTCACTGAACAATTCAGTTACCGACCATAAATTGCAGTGGAGATGCCAGTGCCTGCCTCACAATTTAATCAATATCCTGTCGACTTTTCAACGGAACATTGATTGATTCTTTTTAGAATCACTCTCCCATTGTTACATGATTTACCCCCACCAAAGATATGCTGAAGCGCCACTGGTTAAAAGAGCAAAGGTAACAGGTTTATTGTTCAGGGCTTCACGCTGAGCAGCTGTGAGGACGTTAACAGTGACTGGGCTTCAGGTCCGTCTACCCTCTTCCCTTCCTTTGGTGGGTAAAACTACAGTATGATATGTGGTTATACTCTTAAAAGGATTGTATAGTTTACTTACTACATGAACACAACCATGGTTTCAAGGCTGGAACACACTTCTTTGGCTTCTATGCGAATGTGCATGTCGGGTTTTTTGGAGACAAAGGCTTCAGCTTGCTTTACACAAGGTGAGTGCATCGGCTCCTCTGAAAACTACAGTTACATCCTTAACATAACACCCCTTTCTACGGAGAGCCCTTGGGACATTTACATCTTCACAGAACCACTATGCTTGCCTAGAGGGAACGGGCTGGTCACTCTTCTGTAACATTTTAAAGCATATTTTCTAAGCTCTGGCAGCACTGTGTGGTCAGTAGGAGCTATACAGACCCATTTGACTGATGGCCAAATCTCTAAAGAAGCAAAACAAAACTTCTCTGGTGACTCTGCATTCAAATATTCCTCAAACTAAACGTAATCATTTTGCAATATAAAAGTATGTACTCAATGCCACTTAATATGAATTTCTGGGAGTACTGCATAAAGGAAGTGAAGAGAATATATGTTGTAACCCAAAGTTGGATATTAAAATGCTAAATGTAAGTTCAATGTCAAAGTGGCAGTTCGACTCTTATTACTGACTAGGTACAAACACTCCATCGATACCGCAGCTCCCGAACTCCCACACAAAGCCCGGGAGAAGCCTTTTGACAACTTGACACCCAGTTAGGGCAGTGATAGGGCTGTGTGCAGGAGGAGGTCAGGAGTTTAAGTGCCTAAGTGCTTTAGACACCCTGATGTACACACACACACACACACGCACAGTGAAATGACACCAGGGGTTGTCAACAAAAACGATGTAATGGCAAGAAGAAAACCGACAAAAAGGAAGTACCAGCAAGGTGACTCATGGTGTGCGTATCATCGATAAACCCTTTGTAATATGAAACCACTAGATTTTGTGTGTATGTGTGACAGTTACCGAATATGAATAGAAGCCTTTTGACAATAACATCTTAATTGCAACCACAAAAATTACCACAAACGCTCTGACATTATTAACTTCTCTCTCTATTTAGGTGACACATTTTCAATTCTGAGATGGAAATGTAGGTTTATTAAATGCACCCCTAGCATTGCTCAGCTCTGCAACAGCAGAAAAGTTCTTATGTAAAGCTCTAGTCAGTATGTCAAAATAGTTATGTATAGATATTTTTTATCTCCTATAAGAAAACACAGAGCATGCTGCCCCCAAAACATTAATTATAAGAGTTACTTGTGTTTTTAGGCACAATATTTTCTCATTTCTCGACTTGTAGTCATGGATCACCCTTTCGATGATTCAGACAAAGACAACCATTATAATAAATGACTAAACCATATCCTAAGTGGGTAAAATGGACCACGGTAAACAGACATGGAGTGTCTACATCTGCAGTAAATAGATCTGAACCCCTTCAGACACCATCTGTCCCATGAATGCTCACTCTGACTATTTGTCTAAACGCTTTCGTGAGTTAAGTTAGGTTTTTTTGGTGATTCGTGTCTTGTTCGTGATTTAAATCATTAGCAACACCATGTTGAAAAGTGTTAACTATGGCTCGCTCTATGATTTTATTCTTTTCTTTATAGTATGTACAGCAGGAGTGCTAGCATTGTGCTAATTACAAACCAGTCTTTTTAATAGCCTCCACTGCACACATATCAAAGAGGCCCATGGGTTTTCTCTCTCACACACACACACACACTTACTTGCCTGTAGACTGGCAGGCGGCCCAAAACACCTGCTCCTCAAGCTGTCCTCAAGGACCAGACACGCAGGAGAGGAGAGGAGCAAGAATTAATTTCTCAGATCTATGGGAATATACAGTTGTCTATCCCACAAATGATTTAGAATATGTTGTCAAGTTGACAACTGCTCTGAAGTATGTGTTGTTGTAGGTAAGTTTGTTGCAGAACACCCTCTCAGTAACTCAAACTGTTTTTCTACTGTGAGTTTGTGGCCTACACAAGCTATTGTGGAGGTTACAGGAGTTACAGTTACCCTCAGAATTACAGCTCTGTTAGCTGAAAAAGAACATTTGTCACCACAATCTGAAACGTTAAGATTCTGATTTGTATTTTGCATTTGTTTAGTAGTCGTTAGCACTTTTGACTGCTGCTCGGTGGTCCTGCTGATGCATACACACTTCTCTCTTTCACACCTGTGTCATGAGCCAGCATTAGTAAAAGGTATGTTGGTGCTCTTCCTCAGCTGTTACTACTGTGCACCAAATGACCAAAAATACAGAAAACAAACCGTCACACACACCTTTCCAGACAGATGTATCGCCACACACACGCACACACACACACACACACACACACACACACACACATACACACACAAAAACACTGCGGTCACACAGTCTCCATGTCTGCAAGCGGTGTGTAATTGCAAGTTAATCACAGGGTTTTTTTGGTAACGTAATTAGACAGAACAATCAAGAGAGACTCTGCCATGCAATGAGTGTCTAAACTATTGGTCTCAGATCAGTAGTTAAATAAAATGCACAGTTTGAGGGAGGTCAGAGAGTAAGAGAATTTTTCTTTTCTATTATTAGTCATGGAAACTAATGAAAGACAAACCCTATCTTAAATGGAGAGACTTAACAGCAAAGTTATTCTTTAATATGTAACAACACAATATTAAGAACAAGGTGCGCTCGGTTGAAGAGCTGAAGAGACTGTTACAGCAAAATATTGTGTTTTAACATTACAACAACATGTTTTTCTTATATGTTTTATTGTGAGCTTCCATTACACATGTATATTTGTGTAACAAATATCCTTGTTTTTGCATGTCCAAACATGGACACCAGACTCGGTTTCAGTTTGTGTTGCTCTGAATTTCCACTTACATGTAAAACAGAAAGGCTGAAGCAGCCGTTCGGTAGATGGAAGTAAAAGTTGGAGAAACTGAATAAAACTGTGTGCAGCTCAACACAACCGTGACAGATCAAACTGGCTGAGGAGACATAGCGGCAGATGTTCTTTTCCCCCGCAAAAAAATAAAACATTTCTCCTGCAGGAATCAACTGATTTAACCTGATGGGAGCAGTCAGCTGTTCTGCCTCGTTGCTCTGTGTCTAATAGTTAAACTTCAAGCTGAGCAGGCACACGCTTGAATGTGTGTGTGTGTGTGTGTGTGTGTGTGTGTGTGTGTGTGACCCTCTGGACAATAGGGTGTTAGTGGGGCGTGCAGTCTTACGATACAACATAACCCCTAAGGCACTGATCACACCTGTCAGTCACACTAACACACAAATGCATAGAATCACACACACTTCTGTCCTTGAAAATATATGGTCCAAGGAAAGGTTCTGACTTTGAAAGTGACACATAAAGTGCTTTAAATACAATAGAGAAGTGTTTTTTCATGAATCCATTTAGAGTGAAAAACATAAAAAATACTGCCCCGGTGAGCTGTATAGGTAATGTGCATTTTTCTCATTATTCACATTCAGATAAACATCAAGCAATAATTCAAAACCTGGCTATCACACAAACACAAAATAAAATCCATTGCACACACTTACACACACACACACACACACACACACACAAACACACAGATGATGCATACCCAAGATAAATCCTACATGCATGAAACATAATAAGGTCACATAAACGCATGACTGCTTGCAGACATTTATCTGCAAAATTGCACACGCTGACACACACACACACACTCACTCAAGTGTGTATAGTTCAGGTGCAGTGATAAAGCTAACTGGCTTACTGGAGCGGCGCGCATGTTAATGGTATCACACTCAGACCAGTTACACCATGTATAATTCATCACAACAGAATTAGAACGTATGAACTGGTGAAATAGCATAAGCTCTAAACTGATCTTTTAAATGGTATCATGTCTCTGTTTTTTTAAACAAAGTCAGGTTGTGGGTTTAAGCATATAACTTACATACCCGCTGAAAACATGGTCTTAATTAAGAAAGAAAATCAAACGTAATGTTAAATAATTAATTCTTCTTTGACTTTTTATGAGAGCAAACACTAGGGAACTGGTTTAGAGGGCTAAAAATGAATACTGAATTCTGATTGGCCAATGGACGTAAATCCTTACTAGCTTGGCTCTAGAGAAGTAGGATGAGAGTAGTAGTACACCACGCTATGGATGTATAATTAACTAAGCTAAAATGGCCAATACATGCAATTATAATTCTTCAATTTCATATATTTTTGTGGATCCTAAATATCAAGGGTCTTAGGACAGTGGATGTTGTATGTTCTATAGATTGAAAAGCCCTCTGAGTCAAATTTGTAATTTTAGCATGTATAAATAAAATGAACTTGAGTGCAATTTCATGCCTTGCACCTCTTTCTAACCTTTGTCTAGCATCACATCTGTGTCGGCTAAAATGCTTGAAAGTAACAGCAGGTAAAAGTGCAGTGTTGTGTGTGTATGTGTGTATGTGTGTGTGTGTGGGAGAGGGAAGTTGCTAGCTACGCTTCTTGTTTAGCGAATTTCCATCAATTATGAACCAATATGGAAATATTAAATACTCAAATATAGATGATATAACCTAGAAACAAAGCGCCGCAGGGGGATTGTTCCTTCACGCCTACATTTACATGCAACACACACACACGCACACACCTACACAGAACACCTACACA